CTTTTCACTCTTTTCTTATTTTGTTTTGTCATTCTAAAATGAATGCTGACAAGCTTTTGACAAGCTGGACTAAACTAGAAACGATGTGTTGTCGATTGAGCTCAAAGAAACATTGAGAAAAAGAAATCCCTCCAACTCAAGTGATGACTCTAGTACTTCTCTCTCTCTCTCTCAGATCTCCAAATGTTTATGTAATTTTCTTTTCTCCAAAATCAAATTTGAATGAATCTTCTGAATCTTTACCTAATTAGGCCAAACTTTTCAATAAAACAACTAACTTTTCACTGTTTTCTTAGCTCCAAAACTTACAACCCAAACAAAAAAGCCTTCCAAACCTTTAGCCCTTTAGCCCAAAGCCTTTAGCATGTACTTTGTGCTTTAATCTCTAAACCCATTCTTTCTAGTCTACCTGTTTTCTTGTGGAATGACAAAACATCCAACTCCACCAGAAAAGCTGTGTTTCTGCAAAGCTGCGAGCACAAAGCACGCTTCGGATTCATCCTTCATTATATCTAACTGTTTTACCTTGAATCATTCCTTTACAATCTCAATGTAATAAAAGGATTTCCTTTTATTGCCATTCATGTCTCAAGCCGGATGTTTTCCCCGATCAAATTTGACATTAACTTATGTCTCTTGAAAATTTATAGGTGAACAAATGGTCGAATTCCTTTTGACTTTCGTGGTAACCCGAGCCGCTTGGATCCCCAGTACCCCACGATCTGAAAGGACTGAAAGCAAAGCGATGGATTGCATTTCATCCCCATCTCTTTCTCCTCATTTTCTCCATTCTTAAAGCTAACGTTATTACAACTTTCTTTTGGGAATACTTATTTTGATGTTACTTATAGTTTTGGGGTTTTTAAGGCGGTTTTCAGGCTCAGGCTTTCTTCATTTACCCAATTATTTCTTAATTTCACTTCATTCTTGCTCCTTTTCTTTGCAAATCCTCTTTAATTTTATGGAAATCAGCTAGCTTTTCGAGAAAAGCCAACTACGCGACTGTACGCGAAAAATGACGTTGACTACGCGGCTGTACGCCAAAATCCCATCGACTACATGACTGTACGCGAAAAATGACGTCAACTACGCGACTGCACGCGAAAAATGACGTTGACTACGCGGCTTTACGCTCAAAATCCCGTCGACTACGTGGCTTTACGCCCAAAATCCCGTCGACTACACGACTGTACGCGAAAAATAACGTTGACTACGCGACGCGAAAAATAACGTCAACTAGGCGGCTTTACGCTCAAAATCCCGTCGACTACGCGACTTTACGCTCACAATACCGTCAACTAGGCAACTGTACGCCAAAAATCCCATCGACTACATGACTGTACGCGAAAAATGACGTCACCTACGCGACTGCACGCGAAAAATGACGTTGACTACGCGGCTTTACGCTCAAAATCCCGTCGACTACACGACTGTACGCGAAAAATGACGTTGACTACGCGACGCGAAAAATAGCGTCAACTACGCGGCTTTACGCTCAAAATCCCGTCGACTACGCGACTTTACGCTCACAATACCGTCAACTAGGCAACTGTACGCCAAAAATCCCGTCGACTACGCGTTTGTACGCCAAAATCCCCTCGTCACAAAGTATTAATCAATTCTTTTCCCAATTTCTTCTTTCTCATCAAGTCTCAATATATTCAAAGAGCCACCCATCCATTAGTGGATATTAGTTGAGTGACGCCTCCTATTGGAGTGAAAAGAAAACTTTCCGAAACATCACCCCAATATATAGTTATGTAAAAGATCAAATATCTTTCTAATTCTTTTTAATTCTTTCGAATTCTTTCGAATTCTTTCGAAATTCATTTAAAATCCCTCAATCTACGATATTAGACATCTGGGGATGGATATCTGAAGTGTACCCCTTTCCTCTATCCACTAACTCAATCGGAACGCCATCTAATGAGCCATCCGTCTCGGGGAAAGTCTCAAACATTCGAATTATTGCATTTATTGCTTAGTTGTGAAAATTTGAAGTCTGAATATCATACTATCAATGATCATAAAGTGAATTAGCAATCATTTCATCAATTTTATAAACTAGATCGATTTAGTTACCCATATTCTCCAATCCAATCATCGAAATTTTGCAAAAACAACTTACCCAAGAGGAAAATTGAAATCTTTTCATATTTCAAATCAATAAAATGAGACTCTTTCTCGTCTACCGCTTGGTGACAGCCATTCCACAATTCCTCAATTCCTCAACTTCTCTTCTTCTTTCCCTTCTTTCCCTACATCTTCACTAATCCCCTCTCATAAACACTCAGTAATCCAAAATCCATTATTATAAGCTTGTTTTTATGTTCTATAGTTGTCAAAATATTAATATAGAAAGATTTACTAGTATTTAGTATTTATTTGTAACTAGTATTTATTTGTTTTAAAGTCCTCAGCTCAGGCTTAGCTTAGGCTTAGCTTAGGCTTAGGCTCAGGTTTAGGCTCAGGTTCAGGCTTAGGCTAAGGCTTAGGCTTAGGCTCAGGTTCAGGCTTAGGCTTAGGCTTAGGATCAGGCTTAGCTTAGGCTTAGGCTCAGGTTCAGGCTTAGGCTCAGGTTCAGGCTTAGGCTCAGGTTCAGGCTTAGGCTAAGGCTTAGGCTTAGGCTCAGGTTCAGGCTTAGGCTTAGGCTCAGGCTTAGGCTTAGGCTTAGGCTTAGCTCAGGCTTAGCTCAGGCTTAGCTTAGGCCTAGGCTTAGGTGAGGCTTAACTAGTATTTATTTGTTTTAAAGTCCTCAGCTTCTTTCTTTGTTTCAATTCACATCTGCTTTTCATTACCGGATGGATTTGGGGAAAAAAAGAGGAAAAGGAAAGACTTATTTACAGACACAAAAATAGTTAATATTTTGAAGTAGAGTTTTCTATTAAATTTTCATTGCAAAATTGTCATTAGGCAATTTAAAATTACAATTTTTACAATTACAACTTACAACAATTACAACTTTAAAACAATTTCAATTCTAAGAACATTCTATTTCATTTCTATGCAATTCACCATTGATTTTATGATATTTCTTTTTAAAAATCAACTTCTTTAACTAAACTTTGATTCTTATAATAATGAGAATTTAAAAATAATCTTAAAAATAATCCTAAAAACAATCTCAAAACATTTCCCCATCAAAATCTTTTGTTTTCTTTGATGAAATCTTCGGGAAATATTTCGAGTGTTTGTATCAAAGCCAGAAATCTTTTTTTGTTTTTCTTCTTGTTCATGATATTTTCATTTAACAAACATCCCCCCACTGATCAACGATGAAATCAAAGAGAAGAGAAGATATCGAAGAGATCTTCTTTGAGATCTTTGAGATATTCAAGAGGAAATCTTCATCGTTTGCAGAAAAGAATCCGGTTGTTTAGTTGGGACTAAACAACTGGATCTAAGTCCTTGGTCGACTCTAGATCCTGTATCGATTCAGATTTTCGATTCAGATTTTCAATTATTTATTATCTATTATCTGTATCGATTCAGATTTTCACTCAAATTCTTTGCAATTCTATCACTTAAACTGAACAGAGCTTTGTGCGTAAAACTGTAACCTTTCTGCCCGTAAAAACCGTAACCTTTCTTGCCCAGGATCTATAAGGCAGATTTCAGCTCTGGTTTACGCAGAGTCAGAGACTTTATGGATTAAATGCTTCGCTTTTAATGTTGTAGAGTCATAAAATCATTATTTTTAAGCCAAAACTGGCTCCTGGTGGCTTCTAACTTTTTGTCAGTCAACCCTAGGCTTAGAAATGATAGGTTAAGTCTAAGCTGTATTGGTCCAGACAGGCCCAGACTGTATTGATCTAGTGTATTGGTTTGGCAACCTAGTTTTGGCAGTCTAGGTTTAGCAGCCTAGTTTTGGCAGCCTAGGTTTAGCAGCCTAGGTTTAGCAGCCTAGGTTTAGCAGCCTAGGTTTGGCAACCTAGGTTTGGCAGCCTAGTTTTGGCAGCCTAGGTTTGGCAACCTAGGTTTGGCAGCCTAGGTTTGGCAGAAGCCAGGTTTAAACTAGCCTGATTCTAGTACATTTGTAAGTCTGCAGGAAAACTAGCTTTTGGTCAGGCTTGGCTTCTTGTTCTTGTTCTTGTTCTTTTTCTTGTCCTATCTTGTCAGCTTTAATCCACCAAGAATACCTGGTTCAAGTTCAAGTTTTCAACTACGGTTTGCCTAGATTGGTTGACATAAATTTGGGCTAGCTTCAGGAATTCAGTGCACCAGAAAAGACAGTTTCCGTTCGGCAAAAAGGCAAACTTTAAAGTCAAACTTTAAGCTTTTATTTTAAAGAAAGCTTTTATTTTAAATCTTCTCGAGTAAGTTCGGAATTGAAAGAAGAGAAATTTGTGATTGAATATCCGTTCCTTTTTCCCCTTTTTCTCATTGAATTCTTTTCTTTGTTCTTGTCAATTCTCAACGTTTTCCCTTTCTTTTTCTTTCTCTTTTCTCGAGTCTTTCGGATATATTTACTGAGTAAATCCCCCATCGACCTTTATCCCCAATTTCTCACTTCCTTTCTCACTTCCTTTCAAATCTTTTTTCTGATTATCTCTCAGTGATTTGAAAGAATTGTTGAAGTTGAATCTTTGAATGAATCTATTTTCAGCTCTACAATCCACAGCTCTACAATCCACAGCTCTACAATCCACAGCTCTACAATCCACAGCTCTACAATCCACAGCTCTACAATCCACAGCTCTACAATCCACAGCTCTACAATCCACAGCTCTACAATCCACAGCTCTACAATCCACAGCTCTACAATCCACAGCTCTACAATCCACAGCTCTACAATCCACAGCTCTACAATCCACAGCTCTACAATCCACAGCTCTACAATCCGCAACTCTTTTCGAACTTTATCTCTTATTTTCATTTAAACCATTTTCTCTTATTTTGATTCAATCATTTGATTCATTTTTAATTTAAATCTTATTTATAAGCCCATTTCCATTTTAATCTTCTTCCAATTCCAGACTCTCATCTCCATTTTCATCAAAATGCCTCCCCGATGGGCGACTCTCGTCTTGATGCTATTCACAATATTTTGGGGAAATGCTGAGGGTAGGTTTTTTAATTTCATTTTAAAGTCAGGCTGAGGGTAAATCAGGCTAAGGGTAAGTCAGGCTGAGGGTAAGTCAGGCTAAAATCTAGTCAAATCTAAGCCAACAAAATCTTTTCTTACCTTATTTAAGTTTACATAACAGAACGTACCAATAGTATGATAATCTCCGGTCCACTAGCTATTGTTAGATCGAGATCTGCCCAGGATTTGTAAGGCAGACTTCAGCTCTGGTTTATGCGGCTCTGGTTTACGCAGCACAGAGACTTTATGGACCAGGCTAAACGAAGAGAGCGACCAGTTAGAAGCTAGGTTCCGACTTTAGCCTTCAACTGGTCCGGCTTCTGGAACAACTTCATATTTAATATTTAATTTTAGATTTAATTTTAGAAATCCTATTTTATTATCGTAAAATTTGGAAAATTGCACATTTTAGGCAAAATTTACAATTTTGGCAAAGTGCAAAATTCGTTGAACATGATCAAGTTGAACAATTTATCCAAATTTAGCCTTAAAACAGTCTGCAGCTTTTAAAGAAACACATCTTTCATCGATTTTCAGCTCGACAACAATGCGAATTAATCACAATTCCTTTGTGTAAAGGAATCGGCTACAATATGACCTCGTATCCAAATCCGTATGGACACGAGAAACAAGAGGAAGCTGGCCTCGAAGTTCATCAATTTTATCCGCTCGTAGAGGTGAGCCGATTCTTTCTGAGTGAGCCGATTCACGCGAATGATGTGATACCCACATGGTTTTTCCTTACATTTAGGGCTTATAGCTACTTGTGTATTGTTTGTACAAGTACAAGTACAAGTACAAGTACAAGTACAAGTACAAGTAGTACAAGTACAACAATACACAAGTAGCTCTAAGCCCTAAATGTAAGGAAAAACCATGTGGAAATCATCTAAATGGAAAAAGAAAGGAAAAGAAATAAAAAATCAAATCAGCGGGATCTAACCCTTGACCGGGATCGAACCCTCCCGACTTAGAGACAGCACTCTTAACCAGTCGACTATCGGAGCAATGCGTCCGTTAGAGTTTTAATCGTTATAGAAAGAATTGACCTTAAAATTTCAGGTCGGTTGCTATCAACATCTGAAATTTTTCCTTTGCGCTTTATACACGCCGATTTGTCAAGAGGGATATGTAAGTTTTTCTCTAAAATACAAATTAATCTCTGATTTTTCTAGGATCGACCAATTCCTCCATGTATGGAGTTATGTTTGGAAGCGAAAAAGCGATGTTCGCCAATCATGCACAAGTAAGCATTTGACAAGAAAAGGCTTTACTTTAAGCATTTGGTATACCCATGACCCTGGATAACAAGTTTACTAGTTTCCTAGTTTCCTAGTTTCCTAGTTTACTAGCTTACGAGTTTCCTAGTTTCCTAGTTTCCTAGTCTCCTAGCTTACGAGTTTCCTAGTTTACTAGTTTACTAGTTTCCTAGTTTACTAGTTTACTAGCTTACGAGTTTCCTAGTTTCCTAGTTTCCTAGTTTCCTAGTTTACTAGTTTCCTAGTCTCCTAGCTTACGAGTTTCCTAGTTTACTAGTCTACTGTTAAACTAGGGTTTATCTTTTATCGTTTAATACAATACAATATCCATGATCAAGTACAACAAATCCAAAATCCAAAACATTGTCAGCACTTACAGATACGGTTTTCGTTGGCCGGAAACCCTTTCTTGTGATGGATTGCCGAAAATGAGTGATCAGTTCACATCGGGGAATATTTGTGCCGCTCCACCCGATACACCGACAAAGAATCACAAGCAAACGGTTGGTAAAAGAAAGCGAATTAAAAACTAAATATTAAAGGAATAGAAAGAGAAAAAAATAACCCCTTTTACATTAAAAAAGATCGTTTTTCTTTATGCTCTTTTTAAAGGTCCTTAATGCGCTCAATTTTAAGCTTTATTCACAAGTTTTATATACGAAAATGAAGGTCTAGATGTCCTCTACAAAACACTAATACATATCAAAGCTCTAAAGTAAACGCTTTTTGAAATTTTTAGGTCGAAAGGCAAAGACATCATTTTTTTATCTGAAAGCTTTTTCGATTCTAATTAATTATTAACTAAATAATAATAATATTTAAATAATATCTAAATAATATTTAAATAATAATTATTATTATTATTAAAGTAAATCTCTAATAATTAATGATATTTACGATCATTTTATGTGAGAATAATCAAGAGAAAAGCTAAGAAGACAAGAATTTTTTTTTGAATACTTTTGTCCATGTTTGTAAGAGCTCAGGCTTAGGCTTAGGCTTAGCTCAGGCTTAGCTTAGGCTTAGGCTTATCTGACCATTCTTGAATCGATCTTAAGCTCTATAAACACGCAGCTTCTAAATCTAATTCATAATTGAGATTTTAAAAGAAAACATTAGAAACATTTAGAAAACATTTAGATAAATCATCCAATCGCCTCGCTTGAGATCGTTCCCGATGTGGGCATCTCGATTCCAGAAGAGTGCGTTTGTCGATGCAGTCGACCGTTCGAGAAAGCGGCGCAAAGGTCACTAGATAGAATAGATCATAGAAATCTTCTCTACAGATTTCTCTACAGCTCTTCAATCTTTTTTTTTTCTTTAGCTCAAAAGTCGGCGATGTGTCTGGTTGTGCCTATTCGTGTCGTGCTCCAACACATTCAACTCTCAGCAATCAAAGCTTCGTGAACAGTTGGATCGCTGTTTGGTGAGTTGAAGTTCAAAAGCAATTTTTCCCATAGCCCAGGGCTAAGCTAAAATCCCAATTACTGGTCTGCCTAAATATAGGAAAAAAAACCCATCTATGGAAAGAAGAAGCAATATCTAGCTGGCAGGATTGAGATTCAAGCTACAAGATACAAGCGACAAGATACAAGCGACAAGATACAAGCGACAAGATACAAGCGACAAGATACAAGATCCAAGCTACAAGATCCAAGCTACAAGATACAAGATCCAAGCTACAAGATCCAAGCTACAAGATACAAGATCCAAGCTACAAGATACAAGATACAAGCTACAAGATCCAAGCTACAAGATACAAGTTTCTGGCTAAGATCCAAGGCTTTTAGTCAGTCAGCTATGGCGGCAAAATGAAGTAAAGAGTTTGGGAAAGTTTATAATTCTTTTTTTCAGGTCAATCACTTGCTTCTCTCTCTCAATCTTCACCGTGTTGACGTTTTTGATTGAAACAGATCGTTTCCAATACCCGGAAAGACCGATCTTTGTGTTGGCTTTTTGTCAAGCAATGGTGTAAGTTCATAAAAATTCAAATATTTTCCAAAAAAACTGACTTAAAACAAAATTCTCTATCTTCAGTGCTGTCGGTTTTCTTCTTCGCGCCTTTTTTGGGCACGAGGCAGTGGCATGCGATGCGTGGAAAGTGAGAGGAGCCGATGATGGAGGCGATTCGCTGTGCTTTATTGTAAGTCTTCAAAAATAGGGTTAAAAGTTTTATAAACTAAAACTAAATCTAGACTAGAACTAAAATCATTTTTTTTATAGATCTATAAATCTATAGAACTCTTTTCTCTAAATCTCCATCGATTTTAGGTCTTCTTCTTGACGTATTTCTTCGGGATGGCCGCCTCGGTGTGGTGGGTGATCCTGTCGCTCACGTGGCTGCTAGCTGCCGGTATGTATTAGAAAATTGTTCGTATGCCTTAGTATCAGTGATGATCGAATATCTATGATATAATAATCTATAATATAATGATCTATAATATAATGATCTGTAATATAACGATCTGTAATATAATGATCTGTAATATAACGATCTATAATCTAATGATCTATAATATAACGATTTATTTAGGGAAAGTAAAAGAAAATTTCGAAATTTAGGCTGTAAATGGAGCACGGAAGCGATCGCATCTTATTCGATTCATTTCCATTTAATCGCTTGGGGATTACCAGCAATTCAGGTTCAAACAAAAAAGAGAAATATTTAAACTAAAATATTCGAAAGATTTAGGCTGTAAAATATTTGAAATAACGATAATAAGATCGATAAAGATCGATAAAGCTTAGGCGATCGATAAAGATCGAAAAAAGCTTAAACTCTTTTCAGACTTCACTCGTTCTAATTCTCTCTGCAGTTGACGGGGATCCCGTTTCTGGAATCTGCTATGTCGGGAATACGAATGTTCAATTTTTACGAATCTTTGTCCTAAGTAAGATTACCGTAGCTATCAAAAAAATCAATAATCAATATCAACAATCAATCAATCAATATCAACAATCAATCAATCAATATCAACAATCAATATCAATCAATGTAAATTTCAGCTCCACTCGTTGTCTATTTCTCGATGGGCGTTCTCTTTTTGGCAATCGGTTTCTTCAACCTCTGGCGGATCAGAATTGAGGTGAAAAGCCAAGATAAAGAAGCCAAGATAAATTTCAAGTTACTCAATTCATCAATTCAAATCTAAATTTTCTAATTCTTAAAATATTCAGGTTCAAAAGCATCACCATGGACTAGAAAGTGCCTCAAAAGTGACGCAATTAATGTCGAAAATCGGGATCTTCTCTGTCTTGTATACGGTAGCTTTTGCAAAAAGAAAACCTATGAATTTAAAGGCTTTTTAATTGTTTATTGTTCATTTTTAGGTGCCAGCTCTTTTCCTTATCTTGGTATTGTTTTATGAGCAACGAAATCGGCCTCAATGGGAAGAAGCAGCGCTCTGTCCTTGCTCGAATTCAAAAACGGATAGTGGTTAGTTAAAAGGAGAATTCATTTGCTTTAAGAAAAGAAAACGATTTCTCTAAAATCTATTTTCAGCGAAAGCAACTCTCCTTCTTTCACTCATTAAAAGCGCTTCAATGTTAGTTGTTGGATGGACGTCGGGTGTGTGGATTTCTTCACGGAAAACCCTCCGCTCATGGAGGGATTTCTTCTGCTGTTCAAGGGGAACACATAAATATCAACAAGTGAGTGATCAAGGGAAAGAATCGAATTGTTTGAGATTGATTTGTAAAGACTATTAGTAATGAAAGAATCGAGGGATTCCTGAAATGAAGCCTCAGTACAAGATCGGGCCATGGCTCTTCCTGAATAGCTCTTCCTGAATAGCTCTTCTTGAATAGCCCTTCTTGAATAGATCTTCTTGAACAGCTCTTCTTGAATAGATCTTCTTGAATAGCTCTTCTTGAACAGCTCTTCTTGAATAGCTCTTCTAAAACATGTCAACTTTTGAAAGCTACCGGAATCTTATCCCAAAGCTGATTCTAAGCTGATTCAAAGCTGATTCAAAGTTGATTCTAGACAAGTTTCAATATCAAAAGAACTCTAAAAAACTCTAAACATTACAATACAAATTCATTTGCATTCAGGCTGAGATTCTTTACGGGAAGAGTGAATGTTCCACACCACATTTCTACAATTCGACACTGAGACAGCAAAATCTCTTCAAACAACCGATGCTTCCAGAGAAATTGTAATCGAGCGTCGAAATCGAGGATCGATCAAGAGATTGATCAAGAGATCGATCAAGAGATTGATCAAAAGATTGATCAAGAGATTGATCAAGAGATCGATCAAGAGATCATCAAAAATTGATTGTTCTTACACAAGTTTGGGTACTGTAGCAGTTCTATCAAATAATCTCAATTTTGTCTAGAATCATTGTCTAGAATATCATTGTCTCAATTTTGTCTAGAATCAATGTTTTCTAAAGCTTTCATTTATGTTTTTGGCTAATCCTATACCTTTACAAAAACACATACAAATCGGCTGCTCTAAAAACTGCGCTATGCCAGCATTAAGTGCATTTTAGCTCTCAAATAGTCCCTTATCGCTCAAATCGTTCAGCTACAATACCCAAATTTTCCCTTATCGTGATGATTCTAGTCAAATTTTATCTCTTTTTATCTTTTTAACTTTGTTAACTTATTTATTATACTTCTTTTTAGAAAAAAACAAATATACAACCAAAAAACCCTCTCGTAGATCTCGATTTTTTTTTTTATTTTGCATTTTTAAGAAACATTTCTTCATTTTTCACTCAAAATCTCAGGAATTTTCGATAATTTTTGTCTTTTTTTGTCTTTTTTTTGAATTTTTCATTGCCTGTGCATCGAGCTTACGACGAAAAAAAAAGAATTTTTCTTTTCTTACCGTAAATACTGTAATAATACTATTGTAATCCAATGTATAGTACTATTGTAATCCAATGCAATCCAATCCAATGTAATGTACTCCACCCGCCTCGTACAGTCGCGTAGTCGCAGTCGCAAAAGTTTTTTTATATTTCATTGTTTTTCAAAGCGCCTATACTTTCAAAAAATGCGTCTTTTGTATCAAATTGTATCAAAATATTTGTATCAAAATAGCCCTGAATCTCAGCTATTTTTTGATACCTAAGCGAACATTGTAGCATAAACCAGTGTCAAGAAACACTCGTTTAAAGCTAGACTACGCGACGCTCCGCACCGTCATTATCTTTGACATCAAAAAAGCGTCTTTGGTATCAAAAAATAGCCCTGAATCTCAGCTATTTTTTGATACCTAAGCGAACATTGTCATGCATAAACCAGTGTCGAGAAACACTCGTTTAAAGCTAGACTACGCAAAACTCCGCACCGTCATTATGGCGGTGGGGTACTATTACAGTATTTACCGTATGTAAATTTACCTCTGATTCTACCAAATTCGCCTTTCACAGGGTACTTTTTTTTTGATGGATTTGATGGATTGATGGAATTTCTTTTTTTGTGGATTTCTTTTTTTTTCTGATTTAATTAAAATCTTTAAAAGAAGTATTGGCTTTTAAAATACATGAAGAATATTGGAAAATAGAGAGAAATGATTGGTTGAATAAAGATAATAAAAGATTGAATAAAAGAGATTGGATAAAAGAGATTGAATAAAAGATTGAATAAAAGAGATTGAATAAAAGAGATTGAATAAAAGAGGTTGAATAAAGAGATAGAATAAAGAGATTGAATAAAAGATAGAATAAAAAGATATAGAATAAAAAGAGATTGAATAAAAGAGATTAAGTAAAAGAGATTAAATAAAAGATAGAATAAAAGAGATTGAACAAAAGATATAGAATAAAAGAGATTGGATAAAAGAGATTAAATAAAATAGATTAAATAAAAGAGATTAAATAAAAAGAGATAGAATAAAACAGACAGTTTTACGGGGAAAACTCAAGCATTAAGATTGCAAAGAGGAGAGCTTTTGTGAGAAGAGTGCTCATCTCATTGGCTGAGTTACACTTTTGTCCCTCACAACAAATCATCGTTCCTTTTAATTCCGAATTTCCGTGAATTGAGTCACGAATGTTGTGGATACGACCTTTTTTCTAGAAAACAATTTCGAGAAATCATTTCTTGTAAGTATTGTTTTACAGATTTTACAGATAAAGGATTTACCGTATTTTCTCTAATAGTGGTGCACCTTGAGCCTTACCTAAATTCCTCGAAATCTCGAGAACCGCTTATCAGAACCTATCGATCTGGGGTCGGAAAATGTAGCTGACGATGAGATCTTGTGGGGGATTTGAGAGTTGAGCTTCTGGGAAAGCTTGGGAACTTTAAAATAGTCACCAACTCGGCCGGCCGGGGTGCACTACTATTAGAGAAAATACGGTATTATTTGCTTTATTACTGGCTTGGCTTGGATAAAGTCCCTGCTAGCACCTGGCTCACAGGTCTGATTGTAATATCTTTGGCTAGATACCGTATTTTCTCTAATACTAGTGCACCCTGAGCCTTACCTAAATTCCTCGAAATCTCGAGAGCGCTTATCAGAACCTATTGATGTGGGGTCGGAAAATGTAGCTGACGATCAGATCTAGTGGGGGATTTGAGTGTTCAGCTTCTGTGAAAGCTTTGAAACCGTAAAATAGTCACCAACTCGACTCGGACTGCACTACTATTAGACAAAATACGGTATTTCTCATTACCGTAATCTTGTCTAGCTTTTCTTCAATCGATATACCTTCTATTTGATATTCTTCAATCGATATACCTTCTTCTATAATCTATAATCAATATCTGTTTCTATAAGGATTTATCAAGGATATTAAAAGATATAAAAAGTAAATGGATAATAGAAATAGAAAGTAAATAGAGTTATTAAGGAAGGTAGATCGATTAGAGAAGCTATTTGGGGGAAAGTAGATCGATTAAACAACTGTCTTTTAGGGATTACGGTAGTCGGGAAAGTTGGCAATGACTTTCTTTAAAGTCTATCGTCATTAGCCCTACCGTGCAATTTTCGCCCATCATCAAAAAGGGCAAATTGTTATCGGTCCCACATCCACATCCCCAATACGACAGATCGGTGCCATCTTTCTAAAACTTCAAATGAAACAATCAATCAAATCGACTCCACATTTTTTCCATGCCACTTTGCGCAGTACTTGCATACAGAAAACTTCCCACAATCGGCTTGATTTTGCTGAAAAGATAACCATATTGATTCTAATAGAAGAATAGCAATAACTATGGATATTCAGCCTTCTTCTCTAAGCCTTCTTCTCTAAGCCTTCTGCTCCAAGCCTTCTTCTCTAAGCCTTCTTCTCTAAGCCTTCTTCTCTAAGCCTTCTTCTCCAAGCCTTCTGCTCCAAGCCTTGTGGCTTGGAGTCGGATCAAGCCAGGTCAAGCCTAAACTGACCCTGACCTAGCCTTGACCTCTTCTGATCTTGCCAAGTCCAAGCCAGCTTGATTCTTGAGCTAGCTTGATTCTTGAGCTAGCTTGCACATAAGCAGCTCAACACAGGTCCATTCCATCATGTTCATCCATTTCTTTCCCCCTTCACTCACATATTCTGTGTCTCCCGTGTGCATTTCCCCTCTTTGATTCTGATCATTTATGCAAGTGAGGTGTACTTCTGTGTCCTCTTCGTCATTTGGATCGTTTGGATCCGGAGTTGAGTTATCAGCTCGATACAATGCCAACAAACAAAACAAGATCACCCAAAACTTCATTGTAGCTGTAGCTGTAGCTAAATGTTCACCAGTATTCTCATGAGTTAACAAAGCTACAGAAAACCTTTTCCTCCAACTCTCAATCCCAAAAAATATCGATTGTAGAAAGGAATTCGAAATTTTGAAAAATGAAAATGTTTTATCAGAAGAAGAGGAAGAAGAAGAGGCAAAGGAAAGCGGCTTTTTGCTGTTTTTTCTGATATATTTAAGCCATGTTGAACAATGATAAGTCGGCTGTTTGAGGAGGGGTTGAGAAGAAGTGAATCGATGGAATGGAAGAGTGGAATAGAAGAGTGGAATAGAAGAATGAAATAGAAGAATGATAAGGACAAGTTTTCGATGGTAAGCTCAAGACTTCGGGAAAGTTATTGATTCGTTCTACTACCCAAAAAAATAGCACTAACGCCTTTCGAATTTGATAAGAATGGAAAGCTTGAAGAGGGATTTCTTATAGATAAAAAGCACTGTTTTGCATTTAAAATAGTAAAGAAGAGAGATGAATAGTGAAGGCTGAAATCCAGTTGAAAAACTTTGTCATAGTTCAGTCGCATTTCTCTTTTTGAGCCATTCTCACTTTTGTCTTAAAATCCTTGTATTTTAAACAGCTTTCTCTCCAGTTTCTTAAAAAGATCTTTAAAGAATCGAGTACGGTAGTGGACGTCTACTGATGGGATACGGTACTATAGTTTACGCTGAGCTGAGCCAGTACTATAGTTTACGTTTCACAAATGAAAATCTCTACCTCAAGTCGAGCTTCAATATTAATTCACTGAATCCCTCACTAGCCCTACAGTCAGTACTGATAGTACTGATAGTACTGATAGTATTGATAGTACTGATAGTACTGATAGTACTGACTGTAGGGCTAGCTCTCTAGCTACAATAAGGGTACTGAATATAGTACGATAGTTTGCTTTGTCGTTTGAAATGTCTGACTCGGATCGACTGTTTTGATTGCTGTTGATTGATTGCTATTGATTGATTGCTATTGATTGATTGCTATTGATTGATTGCTATTGATTGATTGCTATTGATTGATTGCTATTGATTGATTGCTATTGATTCATTGCTATTGATTGATTGCTATTGATTCATTGCTATTGATTCATTGTTATTGATTCATTGCTATTGATTCATTGTTATTGATTCATTGCTATTGATTCATTGCTATTGATTCAGTTATGATGATTGCTGTTGTGCTATTGTTCATTGCTAGTTCATTGTTATTGTTCTTGCTGTTCATGCTATTGATTCTTGCTATTGATTCATTGTTATTGATTGATTGCTATTGATTGATTGCTATTGATTCATTGCTATTGATTCATTGCTATTGATTCATTGCTATTGATTCATTGCTATTGATTCATTGTTATTGATTGATTGCTATTGATTGATTGCTATTGATTCATTGCTATTGATTCATTGTTATTGATTCATTGCTATTGATTCATTGCTATTGATTCATTGCTATTGATTCATTGCTATTGATTCATTGCTATTGATTTAGCCGGAAACTTTTGTCCATCTTTTTGAAATTCTAAATAAAGCCGATAAGCGTGCGCTTTGCTTTAAATAAAAAAGATTAATGATTTAAAAGATTAACGATTTCATTTAGGTCATTTTTGAAACAAGTCCACTTTGAAGCAAATTCGAACCGGAGTTCTTGTTTTTTTCTAAAGAAAAGTCCTTAAAAGTGAATCTTTATTTTTTCAATTTCATTGTGTCTTTCTCTTTAGTCATTCCAAAAATAAAAGCTAATGGAGGCAATGTCTAATCAATTTTTTTGCAAGTTTCTTGGCAGTTTTCTTTACACATTTATTTTTAACATTTCTGATTTATGCATTAGAGAATTTTTATCAGAAAATGAGCAATTGCAAAGATGAGAAAGATTGATTTTGAGAAGTTTGCAGAATTGCAATCATTCCCTTTACAACAATGAAGCTCGACAAGAATTGTCTTCTCGCGTCTCATCAATTTCTTCCCTTCTGCCTGAATCGAGTTTCGTGTACTTTGTGCTCACTAGAAACGCGCCCTAGCTGATGCCAGTTCTTCATTTTCCTAAAGAGAAGTGAGAGAAAAAGCTGCTTCACAAGCTGCTTCACAAGCTGCTTCACAAGCTGCTTCACAAGCTGCTTCACAAGCTGCTTCACAAGCTGCTTCACAAGCTGCTTCACAAGCTGCTTCACAAGCTGCTTCACAAGCTGCTTCTGGCTGCTTCACAAGCTGCTTCACAAGCTGCTTCTAAAGCTGCTTCACAAGCTGCTTCCTTCACAAGCTGCTTCACAAGCTGCTTCACAAGCTGCTTCACAAGCTGCTTCACAAGCTGCTTCACAAGCTGCTTCCTTCACAAGCTGCTTCACAAGCTGCTTCACAAGCTGCTTCACAACCTGCTTCACAACCTGCTTCACAAGCTGCTTCACAACCTGCTTCACAACCTGCTTCACAACCTGCTTCACAACCTGCTTCACAACCTGCTTCACAAAACCCACCGTGCACGTGTGAATCCAATCTTTATTATGACATCCACATCCCCATTCGGCTCTTTTCGATCCATCATCCCACTAAAATCTCCCCCAATCATCTGCTACGATGGCTAAGTGGCTAAGAGCCTCAGTCAGGAGGTCAGAGGTTCGATCCCGACTGCTAGATTTTTGGCTCTTTTTTTTCAAGTAACTGAAGTTTATCGAAAAAGACAAGCAATCTCGAGAATAAGAATCGAAAAAAATGGAGAGGTTTGAGGTGAAGAATTGCGCTCTCTTTCGCACAACAATACAATCTTTTAATCAGTTTTCAATTCAAATTCAAGCCTTCAGCGCCACTCACCTCTATCGCCAATTTCTCACAAAAATGACATCCACTACAGTTTAGTCGGATCTGAAATCAAATAATCCTGTTCTTTCTATTCAAAAACTGTGTAAACGCACTCTTTCTAGTGGATTGAATTCTTTATTTCTTTAAAATCTTTATTTTTGCTTGAAAATCGAGAGAAAATTCAAGATTTGACTGTGCCAGAAAAAAAGGTGTTTCAATTTTCGAGTATAAAAGTGCATCCAGCTGTATGTTGTTGTTTATGTTTATCCGTGTGTTGTTTATGTTTATCCGATTACACCCCGAACACTACAAATTTTAAGTTAGACCCAAAAAACTGAGGGTGTGGGGTTCGGCCCCCCTAGGGTTCTCTTCCCTAGCCCGTGCGCCCAGACTAGAGGTGTCTTCTCTAGAGCTGACTAGAGATCCCTTCTCTAGCGGGTTCACTCTTCCACTGGGTTGGCCCTTCTGGCCTGGGTTATTAAGCAAGAGCCTATCTCTATCTATCTTCTTTCTCCCCGCCTCCCATCGCCGAGTAAAATATCTCATCTTTCTCTGTATTATGTGTGATTTGTGTTTGTCTGACTGATTACGCTTTATTTCATGTCCTGAATAAAGTATCAATATAATATAAAATGAAGGGAAAAATAAAATAATCCGAAAACGTCTATCCAAAATTTCAGAATTAAAGGCGGCGACTTTGATGTTAGTGAAATTTCATATTTCTTGTGCATTAACATAAAGTTTTATATGTCAGTCAATGCTCTTTTCCGCTCTTTCAGAATACTGATTGAGTTTTTTTTGGTTCTTTTTTCCATGAAATTTTTCCATATTCGGCGCCGAAAAGTCAAAATAATTTTTTTCACGAAAATCTAGCTGATAAACTAGGCTCAAAAAGCAAATTTCTGAATTCTACACACGGCCGTGTGTTGTTTATGTTTATCCACCTGTTGTTTATGTTTATCCACCTGTTTATCCGTGTGTATCCATGCAAGATGATTAGCATCTCTAAAGCAATCAATTGAGTTTCCAATTTTGAATATGAAGGAAAAGAATATAAAGAATTCGGTTGCTTTCATTATTGATAAAATAATTCAAATAGGCGATTGAAAGTGGAAATCAAAGTGAAAAGAAAATGCTTTTTTTGTTTTTTTTGTTTGTCTGTGATAATGTAAAAACAAATTTTGAAAAAAAAAATTTGAAATTTTAGTTTATCGAAAAAGACAAGCAATCTCGAGAAGAAGAATCGAAAAGAAAGGAAAAATTCGAAGAATTGCAGAATTGCAGAGTTGCAGAATTGCAGAATTGCAGGGTTGCAGGGTTGCAGAGTTGCAGAATTGCAGGGTTGGAGAGTTGCAGAGTTGGAGAATTGCAGAATTGCAGAGTTGCAGAGTTGGAGAATTGCAGAGTTGCAGAGTTGCAGGGTTGCAGAGTTGCATCTCTCTTTCGCACAACAATACAACGTTATCTTCAATTTTGTTTCCTTAATATAATTTTCTTTTACCTCTTCAACGAATAATTTTGTTTGAACAGACCGTACTTTGAATTTTTCTGATCAAAAACCCCATCGAAACGATCCCAACTCACCACACAAATACTCTGACCTTTCGGATCACCAAACATTCCTTTCAAGCAACCACACGCTCGTCCGATTAGTGTTTTTTCCGTTGAACTAAAGTTGCTAAGAAAACTTCTTTCTTTCTTTCTTTCTTTACTAATACCCGTGCTCTGGTTTTCAAAGCTCTGAAGATCCAAGTATTTCCCTCTCTTCCTTTCTTTCTTCTTGGGTCAAGCCGATAGCTCAGCGGTAGATCTAGCGATAGATCTGTCCAATAAGCGAAACGTTAAGGGCTCAATTCCTCGTCATTCATTTCTTTATTTTATTATCTGCTACAAGCTCACCTCTGTGACAACTTTCAGACAAAAAGGGCAATCTTTCGAACAGTCCGGTGTAGCGTTGACATTTCTCGAGCATTGCTGCTGAAATTTGACGATTGGCACTCAAATTTTCGAAAGTGATAGCCCGACTTTTCCCGAAAGTGACAGTACAGTAAGGTACTTTAGTTTTCAACGCACCTTTTAAAAAATCAAACTACAGAGAAGCCAATACAGTGAAGGTACTTCTCAAGTAGAGCTTTCAGAAAAGTCGATCATTATGTCTTATCAAGAAAATTAGATAAATCATTTACGATTTCCTTGAATTCTTTTGTATAAGCATCATCAACGCAACATTTTACTGAGGACGACGACACAACGACACATAACGACACACACAATGACACATCAACGACACATATCACAAAAAGTGAGCAAAGAAATAAGAAAACTCTCATTTTTAATGAATTTTAATGAATTTTGATGAATTTTGATGATTTTGTTTGTTTGGGGCCCCTCTCCCCACGAGGGTGGCCCCCCCCCCCACATCGCCAGAAAAAACTCATCTTCTTATTTGATTTTTTGTCGCGACGCTTATTTCATGTCCTGAATAAAGTATGAATATATATAAACTTCAAAAATCGACTTTTTAAAGCAAAAATTTTCCAAGAATCAAATCAAAAAAGATCAATTTATTCAATTTCTCTTAGTCACACCAAAAACCAACCTTTTCGAAGTTGAATAATTGCAAAAAAATAAAGATATGCTGTTGGATGTGTTATTTGGATATCTGCTTAACTCTATCTGTTGGAATTGAGCTTGTTTATTGCTTCAGTTGCTTCAGTTATTGCTTCAGTACACTGTATGCAAAAATGAAAACAATCGAGAAAGTGCAATGATGAAGCTAACGGAAAAACGATCGTCTTGGCCGAATTGCATCCATCCCGATCACAGCAATCCATTCTGCCCATCAAGCGCACTTTTTGGCCCTTCAATTCGGTGACTGTCGCTGGAATCGTTTGCCCATTTCCTGAGCGCTGAAAAGAGCAATTTTGATTAGTTGGAATCGATGATCAAAAACAGAACCGGCAGATCAAAAATGCGCCGCAAGGACTCGAACCCTCGACCTCTCGCTCACTGGGCTACCGTGCTACCCATTACACCACAATGCAGTCAACGCCCTCTTGCTCCAGAGGGAGTTAAGTGATGAGACCTGTTGTCTGTTGTAACCATAACTCAATAAGAATGCCATTAAAACCTATCGAAATCACAGATCAGAGCGCCGCAAGTACTCGAACCCGCGATCTCTCCCTCACCGGTCCCCCTTGCTACCCATTACACCACAACGCAGCTAATCTTCTTGCTCCAGAGGGAGTTAAGTGATTCTTTTTAGACCTGTTGTCTGTTGTAACCATAACTCAATAAGAATGCCATTAAAACCTATCAAAATCACAGCTAAGAAAGCCACTCAAGAAATGCCTCAAGTTCAACAGTTTCGAAACTAAATTTCTCGACTAACCGGACAAAAGCCACATTCGCGTTTCGTTCCGTGACTCCCGTTCAACTGAAAACAAAACTTTAGCGACGTAATGGCAATGGAAACGAATAGAAATCTCTAATGTTTGCTACCTTGCTCGAATTCAACTCAAAAAAGCTCAAGAATCCCAGAAAAGCCCCCAGCTTTTCTGTAATTTCTAAAGTTTACCTCATATCGAAATGTGACGCAATGATTGTCTCCAGATGGACAAGTGTAGATTCGCTGAAAAAAAAGAAATACTCTATTTAAAGTTTAAATTAAATTTTAAGCTTTAAGTTGAAGCTTTAAGTTGAAGCTTTAAGATGAAGATTAAAATGGAAGTAGAAGTCTAATGGAAGTAGTCTAACTAGAGTCTAACTAGAAGTCTAAACTTAAAAGCGTATTCTTTTCACCAAGTAATCCAAACCCTTTGTTTTGTGAGCTCATATCCATATTGATTCACATCGTAGACACATTTCAATGCGAGATTCATTGTCAAGAGTGTACAGAGAATAATGAGACCTTTCATTTCTAAAGCTTTTTTTTTCTAAAGCTTCCAAAATCGCAACTTTATCAGAGAACTCAATTGCTAGACAATAATCAAAAGACTCACTCAACAAAAGACAAAAGACTCACAAAAGAATCAAAAGACTAACTCAAAACCATTAAAAATTAATAAATAGACTACTGTCTGAAGTGTAAATTTTGATAAACTGTTTGACTTTTGACTGTTTGACTGTTCTTTTCTATGTAGCTCAAGTCTGCCTCTTTTTATTGCTTTGCCTTGCCTTGTTTAATGATTTAGTCACTCTCCAAGCATCGACAGTATAGTCAGTTCTCAAAAATCTTTTGATTTCCGTAAAATTGGAAATTGGAAATTGGTTTTATTGGTTTATTGATAAAGAGAAAATAAGCTAAACAGCTAAACAATCATTAGCTGATCAGACATTGAGAAAAATGTATTGCAGAAAGTATCATTGCAGAAAGTATCATTGAGCGATTCCAAGCTCACAGCAGAAAGTGAGCGATTCCAAGCAGGAAAAGAGCTGCAGCTGAGACGATCGACGAGTCAGCCGAATTGCAATTATCCCCTTCACAGCACAACAGGTCCACTTTTTGTGTGTCCTTCATCGCCGTTGTTTTGCCCTTTTTCTGAAACAATCCTTGTTTTTAACTTTTCCTTAGAGATTACGGTAGTTTACGATAATTACATATTATCGATAAATCCACATCCAAAATTACGATAGTTTGAAGTTTGAAAGCCTTTAATAGATTTTTCGACTCACGTTACACATTTTCCCATCTATCTCGACGAGCAAAGTGGTGCTCGACGTTCCACAACCACAGCCCCAAGCCGACATGTGTTTCCCGTTCTCCTGTAATTCGTTGTGTAGATATTATCAAATAGATTAACTTTGCAATCTATTCTATTGATCTATTCTAAAGGATAATACCCAAACCAAACCTTCCAAGTGATTTTTCCACAGTAACGGCAATCGTCTCCACACTCCGCTTGTTCTAGCTAGAAAGAAAAAAGTCATCAATTTTGGCAGAATCTTCTGGCTGCAAATTTCGGCTTTGGTTTAAAGAGACAGATGTCAATCTGTCTCTTTAAACCAAAGCCAAAATTTGCATTTATTGATTTCATATGCCGGAAATCCTAATCATTGCAGCTTTCACCGTTAGTCCATCATGCGAGTGTGACTCTCCATTCTTTGCAACCTCAACCCAACATCGCACAGCGAAAGTGACTACGAGGAATGCAGAGAGAATAATGAATTTCATTTTTTTTTTAATTTTTGTCAGAGAAAAAAATAAAAAATTTTGAGAAAAAGAATCGATCAATGTTTCTTTTTTTTCAAAAATGCAGGCATTCAGTTATCGTTATCTTGGTAGGTAAACACTCATGTTAATCCTTGCCAATCTAACTTTAATTCTTCATTTTTCATGTTCGCGTATTTCTTGCATCTCAGCCATGATAAAGACTTGAATCGAAGAAAAAAAGCTTGGAACGAGCAAGGAACACGGATGAAAAAACGAAATTCAAAGTTGCGTTTTATTTGCCCAGCTACCGTAACTTTGTTAAAATGAATATCTTTCAACTAGCACTATTAGGAAAACAAATTAGTATATAAAGCAAATGTATTTTCTCCTTGAATTCTCTTTTCCAAAAGGTTTTCGCAATTTACATTTCAACTTTCACCAAGTTCTCTTTCGATGAATCTTCTCATTTTTACGAGATGTCGCCCCGAGGAGAACGGTTGGTTTTTATCATTTTCTTTTGTTAAACTTACCGTAAATACTGTAATAGTACCCCACCCCCATAATGACGGTGCGGAGCGTTGCGTAGTCTAGCTTTGGACGCGTTTTTCTCAACACTGGTTTATGCTACAATGCGCGCTTAGGTATCAAAAAATAGCCCTGAATTTCAGCTATTTTTTGATGCCAAAGACGCATTTTTTGAAAGTACAGACGCTTTGAAAAACAATGAAATACGAAAAAACTTTTGCGACTACGCGACTGTACGAGGCGGCTGGGGTACTATTACAGTATTTACGGTATCACTTTTTAAACATTCAATGTTTTGTTGCTTTTAGTCCGATCACGGTGGAAGAATTGCGAAAGAGGGGATTCATCGATCCAAATAATGGACAACTCTTCTACAGCTTTCGTGGGTTTTTTTTATAAATAAGAAAAGCATTGGGTAGAAAACTTTCAATTTGACAGTAAACGTTGACATTTTGGATGTTCTTTAGCTTAAAGATACCTAAATATACGTAAAATACACCCAGCAACATGCTGATTTGTTAATTCTTGATTTTATCACTACATCAATATCCATTTTTAGCCAATGCTAGTGCTGCTTCAACGCCCGCTGCGACACAAAATCCGATGAATGAGTAAGGGCTTTTGCGTGTTTTTGAGTGAAGTGGATTGAGTGTGTAACTTTTGTATCACTTTTAATGATTTCTTTTTAGGGTGTCTTCGGCAAAGGGTTCTATTCTGTCCAATTTTAAGGATCAGAAGAGTTCGGTATTGTTATCTTGTTCGTAGCGCCGTAATGTTTCTTTCAGGGAAAAACGGTTGAGTTGTTGGTGGGTGAGGCAGACGAGGTCCCTACAAAGCTCTACCTTACTACATCTCCGGTTAGAAGACTTGTTATTTTGCAATTCAGAAGCTTTAGAATGATGGCAAGACGTTTGAGCTTGAAACTGAGAAATATCGAACGGTGATTGAGCGATCTAATCAGGTAACTCTTCTATCGCACCTGACAATAGCACCTGACTGTTGATCTTTGGAAATGTTAAATATTAATGTTATGCTCTTTTAGAAAACGTTCTTGGGCTGTGGACCGGTGTCGAAGTTTCCCTTTTACACCAAATCATAATTGGCTGGCCAATGGATGAATTCTGTTTCCACATGCAACGCGAGATCTCATTTAAAATAAAATCATTGTTTCCTAGGTAAATGCTTTCGATTTTTGAGTTTTCTTTTATTTGGCACAGTGAATAAATGTCTGCTACTCTATGCTAGAAACACACATTTTAGATCAGTGCGTGTGCCAGCTTACTATGGGCTAACATGAATTTAGTGTGAGAATTTACTAAACTAGAATCTGTGTGCCAAATGCTTATAACAAAAGTTTATTCGGGTCCGGATGTCCATAAAATATATTGGTCTAAACAAATGATGGGGTTCTGGGATGTGCACGCACATCAAAAATTAAAATGCACTTTCAAATAGGTCTCAAAGATGATGACAGAAAATATCACAGCGCTTGTAAATAAACCGGTAAAAGAGGCTAATGCACAGGATCTCGAATTTTACAATGCACATAATTTTCTTGACCTTGGTCACAATTATGCTAGTTTGTTTCTCTCCCTGACCTCAAACACAAAATTGAAAGGCATCTTCATCAAAATATTACCCGCTTCTTGATTAAAATTCGTGTGGAAAAATATTATGAGAACAGACCAATTTCGGGCCAAAAAGTCAGTAAGATTCTCCCAAAAGCCCTACTTTCAAAAATATAGCCATGGTTGATAACAAAGAAACAAAACCCAGGCGATATAAATAATGAGGGGAAACGCTAGAGAATTACGAAAACAACCAAAAAATGGAAATGACAGATAAAATGAACAGTGTCAAAATACAAAACGTGGGCCAAACAATTGAAAACGCAAGATGTCTTTTATTTCCAACCGGCTTTCCATTCATTCTCAACCCACACCCTTCGTCCGCTCCTGTGTGGGCGTCTTGGTGGAGCCAGCTAAAAAACATTGCATAAATTTTTCGGTTAAATCCAGAGTATAAAATCAAAAACTTACATCATCAACAGTGAGTGTCTGCAATTCATTTGCCGGTGCTGGAGCCGTGGGAATTTGCCAATCGGTTGTGACGAGATATCCTTTGCGGTTCTAAAAAAAAACAAAGACATTTTGAATTAGAGCTTACGTAATTCAACGATTAATTTGACCAAGCTTAAATACTAAACCAACCTTCACAGGGTGCAAAAGAATATGATCCACGATAATGCCACGAAAATATTGACCCAATATCCTCATCTCCTTATCCGATGGTTGATTGATGACACAAATTTCAACATGACGAAGTTTTGGATGTGATGGGTGATCAGTGAGAAGATGCAGAGCTGACATTGAGCAAACCACCTAAAAGATGTGTTAGTCCCATGGATTGAATTAAAAATGTTACCTCCGTTGCAAAAGTCAGCAGTTCAGGCTTTTGACGCAATGCAAATTCAACGACTTTTGGAGTCAATCGTCCCATTTGCTTCAAAGAGAGATGGCGCAGCATAGGCAATCTCTGAAAAAGAATTATGATTGTGCCCAAAAAGAATAAAGATTACATTCAACACTCCAAGAATCATCGCATCACTGAACGGAGTCGAATCCAGTCCCAAATTTAGAAGTGTTGATGGAAGAACTTCAAGTAGCTTGGTGAAGAGCTAAATCAATTTCTTTGATTCATTCAAACAATAGATTCAAACTTACGGTATCACGTTTTGGAACGCGAGTAAGATGAAACTTTTCCAATGTTTGACACTTCCGCACGCCCGATATCAGACACCTAAGTACAAGTAAAGCTTGGCAAAACTTTTAAGAGTGTACTTGATAACAGTATCTTCTTTGTGGCGTTCATCACTTCGGAAACCTCCAATCGAGAATGACTTCAATTGATTGAGCAAACTGAGATCTTAAGCGAATCGTTTTTGCTGTTTAACTTCCAAGACGCGTACTTTTGCACACAAAGGCCACACTCTGTACAGATTCATCGTTGAAAGAGGCCCATACATCCAAGTTGAGTTCGGTGATCTAAAAAGGAAAAAGTAACCGCGCAAAAATAATCAATCGAGTAAATAAAAGAGCTAATAGTAAAAAGAGTTTACATTGGTCAACTTGCAAATATCTTTTGCCACGCCGAAAACTTTGACATTCTTTGCGTAGGCGGTATGCCAGAAATGAACTTTCAAATTACGAGTGCGTTGTGAGCAGCGTTTCATGAACACAAATCCATCAGGAATAGTAACTTCGCTTCTGAAATTTTGATATTGGCCATCAAAATTATAATTAACACACCCAAAAGCATCCTCATCAACATAAATATCCAATTGATCTAGTGTGTGATTGATCTCTTCCAAAGCCTCCAAGAAGCTGTTTCCTTGTGATCCAACAGCAAATGTATTCAAAGAGAACTTCTTGAGATTTGGCGTAAAGATACGCTAAATGGAACGGTAAGGTAGGTTTACAAAAATATCCGCTCACCTTGAAAACTGCACGAGCAATGTTTCGTGCGTCAAAAGTGACTTTATTGAAGGAAATGTTTTCTAGATGCTTGTAAAAAGCGCATTCCTCTGAGAACACTAAATAAAAAAAAAATGCATATACTGGAGACAGAGTAAAAACTTACAAAAGTCAATAGCCCCATCATCAAAATGCACGTTCTCAAAAGTAATGCTCCTGAGATTCTTGAATCGCTCGACCATTTGCAGCAAATCAGCGGTGCAGACAAGCTAAAATTCTCTATGGTGGTTTTGAAGATTTCAAAAATCTCTGCTTTGAGAAATTTTCTGCAAACCTACCAAATGATTTCGAACACCACGATAAAGATCTTCTGGAGTGATTCCACCAATTTGAAGACGTCTAATCGACTTCGGGTTAACGCGTTCAATAACATTGTTGAGCAAGTTCACTAAATCAAATGGTGAATCACATTTTTAAAAACAAAAGCCATACTCAAAGGGGCCGGCTGATGATCAATGTGTCCCTGGTCGCGACGAGCCGAAAAACTGAGACATTCACGGCTGAATTCAAGAGTGCCCACAGCAACAGTCAGGATGGGATGGTGCCAGCACTAAAATTAGTTTTTTTAATAATTTAAAGATATAGGACATAGTCTATGTTTCCAAAGCATTAACTTAACTAACTAGTTAAAACATTACTTCAACTTACACGAAAGATTAGACGAAGGTAATCCTGATCAATTGGGAAACTGAACTTGGTCGAACGTGACAAGTAATACATCCGCCTTGAGACGGCCTCCAGAACTGAACGTGACTAAAAAAAAAAGATGCATAAGATGTCTTCAAGGTGCAAAGAATTCATTTTTTTTGCAACCAACCTTGAAATCAACAATATTTGAGACAATTTCCTTCATCAAAGCATCAATGCGACACACCTGAATCGAGGTAAAATCGGTACAATTCAAGTCTTCAACCTGTTCAATAGGGTTCAGCTGATAGCTGGCTGATGTCGAAGCATTTTGCTCATCCAAATTTGCATTCTGGAGCTGGAGCTTTGCTGGAGCTTCTTCAACTTCTTGCCCATTTTCAGTATTATTGCCAAGATCGCAAGCTCAATTATTAGAGATTTTATACGTTTTCCATTTAGAGGTGTTACCTGAAACGGACGTCCAGACAGACATTGTGGCAAGGTTGATAAAGTAGAAGTTGAATCAAAAAGCTAAAAAGAAAAAAAATACTATTCAACAAAAGCAACACCCACTTTCTTCAACAAACGTAGTTTTGCAACTTTTAGCTGAGCGAGTATGGAATGTTTTCTCTGAAAATGCACAAATTTCTCTCCAAGTTCACCCGTTTATTAAACATGAAAAATTAACCGTAATCAAAAAGGGCAAGTAAGTTTTGTTAGGTTGAGAGATCAATAAAACAGTTAGAATCGTAAAACACATCATTGACCTTCAAATAAACCATTTAGAATAGAAAAAGCATACGTTTTCACAAGATCGAAGCAATAATCCTAATTTCAAGTGAGAAAATTGCCGTGTTTTAACCTTGCAACTTCTTTAGAGGCCAATAATCTTTGAGCTTCGTTCAAATCGGGATCCTCGCTTCGTTTTTTTAAAACCTCATTAAAATCATTTATCGTGAGCGGTTCAGCCTGTGCTGCTTGAATGAATCCATCGTGTTCAACCTCACCTCGTACTGCATACAACAGAATGTCCATAACATAAAAACGCGTAGCCTCGTAAATCACCTCGTCCAATCCAGACTCCATCAGAAGTCCTCGTGAAGCCAGTGAAAGTGCAATTCTCGCTCTCATATCGCCAAAATCGGGCAATCGATAAATTATGGCATCTTTCGCTTGAAATTTCCGTCTCACTATTCTTTTATTCGCGAGTTTCGTGTCCCCAATTTCACACAGCATGTTCCTCACTTCTTCGTGTTCTCGAGTCAACTCGCGGGGTACCAAAAGTTCGCAAAGTTGCAAGAAACCTCCCATAATAAGCGTTCCTTTGAAGAAATCATCAAAAGCGGTGACATACTTCTCGAATACCGATTGCTCCATTCCGTTGCGTAGTTTCTCCAAATTCGTGGCAATTTCTCGTAAAAGGGAATCGATCCGTTCTTGTGGAAGTCGATCCATGTGAACCTGGAATCAAAAAAGAAATAAAATAATCCGCGAAAACAGTTGGAAAACAACAAAGGTAAAATTTGCCCTTTAAACCAAAAGATTCCAGAAACGTTTTCACGATATACAATGACAACAAAATGCAGATGAGAAAAAAAGGTTTTCAGATGGTGGAAAAGAGACGCTATAAACATAGAGAAACATTGAATACAGGGCGTTTAAAAAAAAGCCAGTTCCCCTTAATTTACCAAAAAACTTCTAGTGGCTCCTGGTGGTCGTTGTGGTGCCAAAGTGAATATTTTGCGATGGAAAATTTTTGATATTTTTTTACTTTTTCCCGATTTCATGACTCCCAATATAAAAAATTGCTGAGCCATCATGGTCACCACCACCATGAGGCTTTTGCCATAAAACTAAAACTTTGTACTGGCATCGTGGTGCATATAAATATTGGGAATAAACACTATTAGGATAACTACAAATTTAAAACATCCACTTTATTGATCAGCGTTTCCTTGGAAAAACGGGATACTTCTTTAAAAAAAGCGGGTTGAAAATCTCTTATGTACGACGACAGATTATCATATAATGTAGATGAATAAAGTGTTTGGCTAAAAATCTTAGTTTATATATTAAATCAGATATGACACCACAATGCTAGTACAAAGTTTTAATTTTATAGTAAAAGTCTGATGGTGGTGGTCCATATGGGTGGTGGTGACCATGGTGGCTCAGAAATTTCATGTATTGGGAGTCATGAAATCGAGAAAAATATCAAAAATGGCTAAAAGAATATCAAAAATGGCTTTTCTTAATGGCTAAAAGAAGGATAATGGTCAAATACGTATAAAAATTGCGCTAGTTTTCGTCATAGCTTCGAAAAACACAACCATAAACCAAAGAAAGGAATTTTTCTGCAACTAATGGCATTTTTTATCAAAATTACGATAAATGATAAAATGTTTTAAGAGGTCTGAGAATTTTTAAAAGCTGCAGTTGTTGTCCGCTTTGTTTACAAAAATGATTATGATAATTGATAAAATGACTATATTCAAAGGCTGATATTCAAAACGAAAATGCGGCCATGCGAGAGAGCTCTCTCACAAATAAAGGCGATTTAAATTGCAAATTCAAAGCGGTGATTTAATCGGAATTGTGCATTTAAATGGAAAATATTATTATGTGTTTATATATTTACATAAAATATTTTATTTATACATAAAATATTTTATTTTATGTAAGCGGTGACGCCGAGAGAAAATCGATTAGGAATATCGGTGTTTCCGCTAATTTGGGAAATGTTTAGAGGATCTCATTTTGTTTACAATTTTAAAAAAATGGGTACACCATGGTAAATGAGAAATGAAAATGAAAAAGAAAAAGGTAGAAAAGCATAAATGTCAAACTGATATCTCTGAGGAAAGGTAATGCTTTAAATGAGTTGCCTAGATGATAATTCAAAACCAACAATGTTGTATAAAGTACATGACGAGGAAGGAAAATCGATAAATGCCAAGACGAGAGGGAATAGAGAACGAGAAGAAAATGGAGAAAAAGAAAAGCGAATTGAAAAAGAGAGCCGATGCGTGGGCTGTCGCACACCCTCTTTTATTTCGTTCACTCACCTGCACCCGATCGCTTCTTTTTCCTATTTGTGTACACTATTTCTCTTTTTGCCTTTTGTTTATAGGCAAGCCTAGCTCAAGCATAGCAACTATTTCCATTACAAAAGTTAAAAAGATAAATAATCCGGACAGTTAGCTACAGAAAAGGATAAAATGACAAAATTTAACAGAAACTGTTTAGAAGAACATTTTAATGTGCCATAGGCAGATACTTATGATAATTGCTCCGCCATCGATTTTCTCATGTTTTATCACATCTGTTCAGAGAGAATTTTCGCAGAAACATAAACGCGCCACCCACTCAAATCGAAAATCGATGGCCAGCACATCGCATGGGAGTGGCAGCGTCTTCCGCGGGGAATCATCTGAATCCGATTTCTCGCCCGATCAACATTTAATCGATACACTCCTCACACAGGTCATTAAAAAAAGATTAATTGAAGATTTTTACAAACGTAGAAAGGAATTTTTCCGGGATGGGGTGGAGAAATGTTTGGGTAACACCGATTTCGAAAAAATTATGGCTATATAGTCGACATTTCTATCCGCTATACCTCTCTAGATTGTGAAACAGGCTTAAATAGCGAAAAAATTAATAAGCTATGAAAACCTGAAGATATGTATGTATTTTATACGCGAGTTACAGTGGTCAAAAAAAGTCTTGCTTGAGTTTGAAAGGCCACAAAAAAATTGAGGTTTGGCATCGATGATACTTTTTTTAAAAACCCCTGGTACCTTTAGCCAAAGCGTCAAGACTTTTTTGACCACTGTATCTGCGTTTACAAAAAACCAGATTGTGAAACCAGTCTCGTTCACTTCTTTTAAATACCCCTGAAAGATTTCTCTCGATTATTCCAAGAGTGACAGCTCGTTTTTCAATGCCGTCAATTTGCCTATCACTCAGCCTTTGGAAAAAAAAGCTACAAAAGATTGATAGAAAACATTGAAATTTAGGTCGACAACGAAACGGTTGATGCCATCATCGAAACCCAAAAGCAAAGGTCAGGAATTCTACAAACCTACTTTAAAATGTCCCAAATTGTAGCCTCCGACGTTTCGAAAAGACCAACGAGATGATGAGCAATTGCAATGCACTTTCGGAGAAACGATTGGAAAGGGCAAAGTTAGTTTGTGAAAAAGCATTCATAATCCTATTTTGAGATGAATTGAAAATTTCCTGCCAAACTTTCCTTCACCATAGGCGGAAATTACTGATATCCTTAGAAGCACGGTAGCTTTAGGAGAGTTAACTCACTCACCAATCTATCTTACAGAGAAACTCACCATTTTTTTTACCAACCCCACTTCAGAAAAGAGATGGCCGCACACAAAGAGATGATCATGCAGATGAAAGTCGATTTGGAGTTCACTTTTCGACGGATTCGCATCTTCAAAAACGCGCTAGCTACAAAATATCCGGTTATCTACAAAGAAGGTCGGTTCATAACCTAAAACATAAAACAAAACCCAAAATTCTGAATTTTCATTTTAAAGCGCAGTAATTTTCGTACCTTTTACTGGGTCAACTATTTATTTTACGGTCAATTTCTTTTCAGTCGAAATGGAGATGAAAAAGGAGGGAAAGCTCAAAATGAAAGGAGTGGACGATGATGAATAATCGTAATAAATAAAATTTCAATTTAACGGGTAAAATGATGTGTGTATCTCAATAAGTTGTGAAGAATAAATTTTGATGATCAACAATACCCATAAGAACAATTAATTGCTGTCAATTCGAAACATTCATCATTTCTTCTTTTTCTTTTCTTTCCTCTTCTTTTTCGATCGTCGTTCATCTATGATAAAAATGTTAAATCGAAGTTCTTCGCAGCTTTAATGAAAAACCCACCCTCAGAACCGCTTGATGAACTTGAGGTTGAGTGTTTCCGTTTTCTTTTCTTCTTGCGTCTCTCTTCTTCTAAAATTCAATTTTATACAAAACCGTTTTGAAAACGAATTTCCCCAAACCAACCAGAATCTGATGAACTGCTGGATGATCGTCTTCTCCTCTTCGTCTTTTCTTTCTTTACCTTTTCTTTCTTCTTCTTTTCCTTTTTCTTCTTCAGCTTCTCCTTTTCTAAAAACTTTTATTAATGAAAATCACTTTTCAACCAACTTTTCCTCATGACACTCGCTTCCTCCTCGGACTCACTTGTCGTTGAGCTGATGTCAAGCATTGCCTACAATAAAACAATAAGAAAAATTTCCTAAGAAATTACTTTTTGATCTTTTTTCACTTGGATATAGTTCATGCATTGATAAGGAAGATGACCAGCAAATCCACACTTTCGACAAGCACCTGTTACTGGGGTCTTCATTATTGCAGTACCGGAGGCATCTGAAAATCAAAAGTGAGAGGTTATTTCTTACACTTTGTCAAAAGAACCACGAAATTCAAAATTTACCTACCTACAAATCCCGAATCAATCGTTGCTTTCGATGTCGACGAGGGTTCGACTCCCGCCCCTTCTCCAAACTTGCGCACAAATGGCATCGGTTCATAGTTGGCCATTACCTAAACACGCTATTTGAGTCACCTAAAAACTTTCTTTCGATACATTTGTTGCGTTTACGATATGGTTTTCAATAGAAACGAAAATAGATTTTTATCTAGACAATCAGATTCAACAAAAAGAACAAAAAGAACAACAACAACAACAAAAATCAACAAAATCAACAACCTAAAGTGAATAACAGATGTAACAAAACAAAACTCTATTTATGTTTCTTCATTGATCGATTCTTCATCTTTTTATTATGTTGTCTAGCCGCATTCTTCTCCTTGACATGTTCGCTTTGTTGTCCTTGCAACCCACTCATAATTTCTTTCACCTAAAGACGGCTTTTGTACTCTGTTCTAATGCATTATTAAAAAGTAACGTTTGAAAAAACAAACCTTCTTCTTTCTACCCAAATCCAATTGCTTTTGGCTCTCAAATTGTCTCCTAAAACCATTAAAGATGCTATAGTAAAGAATCAACAAACTTTGCAATAAATTGTGTATCCTTTCGCAACTCTTTCAACGCTCCCTTTCGTTCCTGTTTGAGTTGATATTGAAGTTTCTTGGTTTCACCCTAAAACAAAAATTGAATTTCTCTACGGTGAGCTTTAAGAAGATAAATGATTAGCAATCTTTTACCCGTTTTCCTTGTTTATATCCTTCTCTAACAGCATGCTTCTGTTCCGGGTTGAAATTCTCGTCGATGCGCGGCTCAAGCATTTTAAGCATCCTGAAGCCAAAATAAAATTCGTGACCCCTCGAAGAACATACTTGACTTCAGCTTGCTTGGTTGTCATTTGCGATCGAGGTCCTGTTCGTTCACACTCGGCCTTCAGATGTGTCAAAAGAGACGTCGTTTGTTCACATAAAGAAGTCGGAAAACTTTCCAGCGAAACAAGTTCAATCACTTCACAGATTGGCCTAAATTAACTTTGTAAACTAGTTTAAAATTTGTGCAACATTGCACTTCTGAATACCCACTTGAAAATTGACGAATAAACATGCGAATATTGAGCGGCATACATTAGAGACACTTGTTGAATAACAGATAATAACGAGGCGAGTAATCTGGCCGCAAAAAGTGGTGTTTCTTGTCGAGGTGAAGCATCTGTGCAAAAAACTTCACTCAGTGACAGCGGCTTCAAGGTTGAGCTCCTAAGGTCCTAAATTTTACTAATAGTTAGGTATATAATTTTTCTAGAACGACCTCATCGATCATCAACAGTTCCGTTTTGTCGTCAAATAGCTCAGTGATCGGTCTTCTCGTTTGGAGATTTTCATCAGAGATGGCTTGTTGAATGACAGAGCTTATAAAAGCCAACAATTCCGGGAAAAATCTAAAGACAAAAAATTAAAGACTTTAAACAACTTAAACAACAAACTTCTTTGTTTCTTTCACATAATCCAGAATAATGTGACACAATAATATATGGCGGCCGAGCTCCATTCGATTTTTCACATGCCCACTTGAAATTGCAGCCGAAGCAATACTTATGGCAGGTGATGAGACTGGATGGAAATCCGAGGTGATTGGGAAGACGTTAAACACCAATCTGAATAAACGGGTTAGAGTTTGCTGCCTTCGCCAAAGAAATGCCTAGCTGCTATAACTAACCTTAACGTAGAGATTAACATGAAAGTTATTTCGTTATTTTTCTCAAAGCGTTTCCCCAGTCGCTCCAACAGCGCTCGAATACAGCGAACACCGTGTTCAGCGTCAAACTAGAAACAAAACTTTTATTTGAAAATAATTAAAAATTACGTTAATCAAATGATAGATGATTTTGATCAGTTGTCCCAATAAATGCACATTTTCTGTCGTCGGCGCGCCTTTTGATATGTCGGTATAATACCTGGATTGAATGTTTTAGATACATTAGAAAATTTACCTCAAAGTGAACAGTGTCAAGCGAGCGATGATGTTCTTGTTTCCTTCTTTTAACGATGGATGATTAGATTTTGCTATTCTGAAAACGGTTTGATATACCAAAAAATCTAAAAACCTTTTCAAACAATCAGGGATGTCTGTAATCTGTTGCTTGGATAGAAGTTGAACAAACTCCTCGTATTTCTTCGGCATTGAAATGAAAAATTGTTCCTTTGAATCTAAATTTAGCTAATTGTCGTCATTGAAACTAGCAAGTAGAACCTTCCGTTGGGTCGTCCACAATATCTTCAATATCTATCCAAGTATCGTCCATTTCGCCAGCTACATCACCCTAGAAAAACTTTGGTGGCTATTTAAATATGAAATCTAACCTCCGAATCGAAGCGAACTTTCATCCCGTGTTTCACTTTTTTAGGAGCCAAGTCTTCAATGTGCAAAACCTCGGCATTTGCCTAAATAACATTTGATTTATACTACATTTCATGTTGTACCTGTGAATTCTTTCGCGCAACTTCAAGTCGTTTCCTACGTTCCACATCCTCCTTAATGCAATCAACTTCTTCTCGAGTTGGTGAAAGAGCTCCATGTTTCATCTTATCGACTGGTGTCGCCTTGGCTTCAGTACTCAACTTCAGTTCGAGCATCTGAACTTTGAAGATTAGCGTATAATCAAGTCTGGGTCACCATTCCAACATTTTTTCAGAAAAATTAAAAACTACCGTCTTATCATACGCGGCCATTTCTTTTTTCGGTGCCTTCTGAGTATTATCTCGCTTGCTTGCCGACATTTTTTGCACCAAGTTTCTAAATTCCAATAAAAGCGACCATCAAGCTAGTTGATACTTGAAATTATCATCCAGTCGATCAACAGTGTCCAAAATCATGTCCTTCTCTGTTTGTCGCGCACTCTTCTCCAACTTTGACTTGGCAATCATTTCTTTGATGATATCAGCTCTAAATCAAACCAACATACTTAACACAATATTCTACGAGTAACCTATTCTTCCTCTGTTTTGGTTGTTCATTATTCTCATCGTCTTGCTCTAAACCGCCACCTCCAAAGTGAGCCCTCGCAACAATCTGAAAGAAAACAACTCGTATAGAATCCAATTTTTCAGTTTACCTCAGCACTTAGCGCTCCCTCTTCTCCCTCTGATTCTGATTCTTCCATTCGATCAAACTTTTCAATCATTGTCAAAGCTTGGCCTTTGTGCGTAAGTGTGAGGCGTTCTAAAGAACTCTGCAATCACAAATTTATTTATTTCTTTACCATTTTCATCGGATAAGTTGAATTTGTTGCTTTTTGGCGTCTTTCTTAAAGCAACAAAACGCTTTGAAGCTTTTTCATCAGCACTGAGCCCAGCCTTTTTCTCACCCAATCGTTTATCGATAATCTGAAAAATCAACGTTATGTCGTCCATTCAATTTCCAGAAATTCCTTATATGTAGTTTCTTAAACAAGACTTACCTTATTCTTTTTGAAAACATTAGCAACTTCAACGGCCAACGTCTTTTTGCGATTCTCGATGCCCGTTTTCTTCTTTAAAACGGGTTGACCGGGAAGATCCTTCTTTCTGCCCAAGATCTATAAGCAAAAAATTAATCCAACCAAAGCTCGTTCAAAACCATACTTTATGCTTCTGTCGGTTAAACTTCAAGTCAAAAGGGTTCGGCTTCGCTTCGACAGCCGACCCTTTTGCTTTAATTTTTGATTTCTTCACCATTTCTAAAGCTTTGGGAGTTTTTCTCTGTTACGTCTTTTTCAAATGCATTGTGAAACCATAAAGTAACGATTACTTCTCATAAGCATTCAACGTTTGTTCCGATTTGCAAATAAATATTTATTCAACTAAAAATCAATTACCCAAAAAATAGCCATACTAGTAAATATTATTATCGTTTCAAATTGAACGCAAAAAGGAACCAAAATAATCTAGAACAATTATCAATTAAAAAAATTATGGGTATCGCCTTGGTGTGAAATCATTTTGTCGGTTCAAATTGATCGCATCAACGCCGGAGGCAATGTTGTGAGAACTCTAAAAATATAAATTGTTAACAGTTTAATCTTGAAACTCAAAATGATAAAAACTGACCGGCTGATAAGGATACCATCCAGCTGGATCAATTCCAGCAGATCCGGGTGGTGCTTGTCCAGGATATCCTCCATATCCCCAGCTATTGTAGTCATTGCTTCCCCGATCAGCGCTGCGCATGGGCCTTTTATGCCTAAAGTAGAACTTTTATCCAAAAAATTAAGCTTGCTTACAATTAGCTTGCAACAAAAATTTTTATGTTCTATACCAAAATTAACATTATAACCAACCTGGGAAAATACGGTTGGGGTTGAGGACCAGGACTGTAACTTGACCGAGATCCTCCAGCACTAGGATACATTCCGCCGAGTTGGCCGCCATATGTGAAGGGATATTGCGGGGGATATTCGGACGATGATGGACTGTATTCGGGTTCTTGCGGTTTCTCGTCTTGCTTACGTAGAGCTTCAGAGATGGCCACAGAAACGCCATCAATCACCACAGATTCCAACCTAAAACATAGTTTATTAATAACGTTTGCACTTGTTTTTTCTTACAAAACTCTACAACTATTAATAAACTTCAAACTCTTACTTGCATAGTTTCCTAGCAACTTCTGACTTTGACAGCGTAACGAATCCAAAACCTTAAATCTTATGAGCTACAAATTTCCTTGAATCCACCCACCGCGAAACGGCTTCGGAATGTAAACATCCTCAATTGTCGTTGCACTATCTATTTTCCGTACTTCTTCAGCGAAAAAATCCCGCAAACGCTCTGACGTGATCTTATCGGTAATACTAAATTGGCAAATATATTTGAAATGAATATTTTTTATACCGCCCAATGAAAATCTTCTTTGAGTTAGAGTGTTCTTTCCTTGCCGATGAAACAGGACCACCTCCCGTATCTGATGTGTATGGACGATCCGGTAATTTGATTTCACACAGTCTGCCACCAATTGTATGTGATTGATACAAAACCTAAACCAACAAATAAAATTTCGAAAAGTCCTAAGGAACCTTTTCTTGATCCTCGACATTTTCGAAGATGCAAAATCCAAATCCTTTCCCTTGACCCTCCGAATTTTTTTTTATCTAAACAAAGCATTTTTGTTTACGCAAAATAAATTTGCAAAACAAGGTACGCTCTTACAAACTGGCAGATCGTGGACCTCACTTGATTCTAATACTACAAGTTAGACATAAGACTTAACTATAATTTCTACTTTCGTAATGGCAGCTCTAAGAAACTGCCTCAAATCATTTACAAGATCAATTTTGAGCAATAAGATTCAAACAGACATACGTTGAGCAACTTGACCGGGCCAAAGGTTTCGAGGTAATTTCTGACGGTTTCGTCCTCAATCTGTGGTGGGAGACCAAGAATGAGTAAATCGGTGGGTTTGGACAGACGCTCTCGTTTGCTGACGCTGGCCGCTTTTTGGCGATCGGTTCGCGGAAGAATGTCATCTTGGTCCGAGTCGCTCTCCGAGTGATTCACCTTGCGTCGCTTTGCTTCGGCTTTTCCGACATACCCGACTTGTCCGGACACACCAACATTTGATGCTTCGACACCAGAACTCACTGAAATGACACACTGGCGATGACCGGACACACTTTACACTCGTTAATTTAATCATTAACTTTAAAGATAGATCTTTCATTTTAGAAAACGCCTTGACTAACAGACATCGATACAGATTTGACTTTGAAGAACTACAAAAAAGTTGTCCAAACATTAGTTTGTCAACCTCATATAAAACAAAACTAACCTCGTGGTGGAAAAATTGCCGTAAATATTCGATCTTCCCATCCGCCTGCAGGGCACACAAACAGTGAGCCAGTTGGATCCAACCTAAAACTAGAATAGATTAAAAAAGGTGATTTTATCCTTACATAACAGCCCGACTAGCTCCCGTCTTCGGATTTTTAAACTTCAACCCAGTGGCCCCAGGAAACGAATGCGATAGAGTTGTCAACGAGAGTGTTCTGGAAATTAAAAGTTGTAATTAATACTAACAAAAATTTTTAAAAATCCAAAAAGGCACTAACTTGTCGGGGTTGCAAGGTAATTCCAGTAGTTCTCCATCTTCGCTATCTTTCGCGGCCACGTAGATAGGTTCTTCTTCTTCCTCGTTGTTCTTCTAAAATTAAAAAAGTTTCTTGTTTCAAAACCAGAAACATACACGTAAGCCCTGTCTATCGAAATCCTCGTTCGCGCTTTCAGACATCGCCACAAACGAATCGATCTAAATTGAGAAATTATAAACTTGTTATCAAAACAGTGAGCTCAAAAAAAGCAAGCACAAAAAATAGATTAGACAATGAATCAGTCCATGAAATTTTAGGATAACATTACCCATTTAGGTGGGTACTTTCAAAGTCGTTAAGTAGATAAAATAGATATTTTTATCAAATTGTTGATAAAGTCAATTGAAATTATCTAAAATTGACAGGATTCTTCAAAGTTGAAAAATTATTTGCTATGCGATCAATAGATGGGAGTACATGGGACAACAATCGACGCTACTGCGTCTCATTCGCGGCAAGAAAGAGATAAAACAACCGCTGCCGACTCACTGGGGGAAATGATGCAAATGACAGGATTTGTAGTCTTATTGTTTGTGAAACTTCAATTAATTAACTGAATATCTTTAAACATAAATAGTTACAGAACATAAATAGCTAAGACAGATCGCTCTATGGGGGTGGGACAAATGCGACCTTTTTTTGCGCACCTTTTTTGCTGGAAAAGGCCTTAGGAAAGGTCGTAGAGCTTCAAAAATGTATTCATAGAAGGGAATCGTATGCGTAGATTCCGAATTTCGACAAATCAGACCTCGCTGACACGTCAAATTTGGGCTAAAAGGCAAAAACTGCGGAAAAGCGTTAAGTTGCGTAGTTTTTGCCTTTTAGTACAAATTTGACGTGTCAGCGAAATCTGATTTGTCGAAATTCGGAATCTACGCATACGATTCCCTTCTATGAATACATTTTTGAAGCTCTACGACCTTTCCTAAGGCCTTTTCCAGCAAAAAAGGTGCGCAAAAAAAGGTCGCATTTGTCCCACCCCCTCGCTCTATAGAAACACAAGTGGTTTTCAATATGGCTTTTTCATAGTATTTGTTTTATAAGCTTGTTTTTAACGAATATAAAACTATTTATATGCAAAAACTAGGGTAGAAAGAGAGAAATGAAAGCATTTAGATACAATGAAAGTGGATGACAACGTGCGCAAAAATGGGAAAAAGCGGTGCAAAAATGGGAAACACTAGACGTTTCTAGATCACAAAAGTCTTGGAATCACAAAAAAGAAATGACTTAGATAAGTTAAAAATTGGAAAGTATTGCACAAAGTTATAAAAAATCGATATAATTATTGACAATTTGAGCCACCAGCCAGCCAAGTTGTGTCCATTGCCTGATGGTTTTGGTCCAAGATTTTCTGGAATTTTTTAAGATTTGTAAGAATTTCTACAGTCTTACAATGATAATTTTTAGAGATTTAATGTCATCAAACAAAATTTCAAATTCAATTTCGTTATTTTCTCTTTGACAAACCTTCCATCCATCGATCGAGCGCATGTCCGAGTCGTCGCTGGGCGAATTCTGTGGGGTTTGCGTTTTGATCTGAATGGTTATGGTTAGTGTTTGTGTATGTAAAAACTATCTACTGGTGTAAGCAGTAGATAAAGTAGATACATTTCGGTGTTACAAAAAATTTGCATAAATGAGTTCATTTTTATAATTTTCTTAAACTTCAATCCATCACAAACCTCAAATTTCGGTGTTGCAACGGTGAATTCCGGTGGAGTAAGCAAAATCTCGCGAATATTCTGCAAAAAGCGCTCTTCGTCGAAGCCAGATGGAGTCTGAAAAGAATCAAATTTCAGAATATAATCAAATATAAACAAATTTCAGAAGAAGTTTGGTCTTTTCGTCAAACGACGTCAAACGACGACAAATTTGGGTATTCACAAACGACTTGTTCAGATCATCAGATCACTTTTTGAACTAGTAAGCTCATTTGGATAAAACGATAAAACGTGTTACGATAAAACGAACATAGAGAAGCTCTCTATTAGAGTAATGTAGGCCTCCATAAAAGTACTATAATCCTAGAGTAGTATATAAAAAGTACTAGAGTACTATAGTCTATAGTACTAGAGTCCTATAGTCCTTTCTTACTTTTTTAAAAAAGCCAAATCCAAAAACCTTGCATTACCTCAGCTTCAAAGACACATTTCTTCATCTGTTTCGCCAATTCTACAGTCGAATCGAGTCGAGAGAAGAATTTTGGGAAAACGAGACCGAATGGAACCGGAAGGGGAGCTGAGGTTGATGTACACGGGGTGGAGTAGCCTAAAGTGGGATTTGCTTAAAGTTATAATATCTAACTATCTAACTGTCTCAACTTCTCACCGATTTTCGAAACCAGACCTAGCTACAAAACGCCCCCGTAGAATTCTAAGAAACGCGTATTATTTTGATCCTGGGCCTTGGTTTTCGAGAAAAACGTGTTCAAAGTTTCGGCAATTTCGGCAATTTCGGCAATTCGGCAAGCCGCAACCTCACCTATAAGACGACTTCACGCCGACATGCAGCTAAGGCAGCGACGGCCGAGTGGATAGTGGCTAGACTCCAAAACCGGGGTTCAATCCCCCGGTTGGAGGGTTCAATGCGACTTACTGCCGAATTTTTTGCTTTTTTTGGAAAACTTTCGAAAAAAAAGTTCTTTATGATTATTATAGTGTTTTTAAGTTAATAATTTATTCAACTCAGCTCAATTTCACTCACCACTGGCATCATACGGTGTATTTGAGGGTACATTAGGCAACAGAGTCTCAGCCGACGTTGACAAAGAGGCTGAGGAGGAAGTCTAAAGTTTAAAAGTAAATAAACTTTAACAATGAATCCTTTCCACTTTTAAACTATAGCCATTCTCTACAGTAACCTGTCTCAGAGTTGATTCCGTCTGTGAAGCGGCGTCTCTCAGCAACCATTTCGAGTTGTCCGATGCTTTCACCTCATTGATCACCATTTCGAACTCGTAAGGGGAAACTCTGAAAGGTTAAATTGATGAATGAATCCTTTTAGGTACAGGTATGAATCCTTTTAGGTATAGGTCTTAAATAGTCTGAGAAATCTTCTCAAATTCTTAAATCTAAACTTCCCAAAAGATTCAATCAATTCCAATCTTGATAAGCACAAAAAGCTTTTGTTTGAGTGGGGGAAAAATAAAAAAGAAAACTGACTTATTGTTTGGGTGTTCTTCAAGGATCACTTTTCGCTTCATGCTTTCCGATTTCTAAATAAAAAAAATGGATTAGTTGATCTGAAAACTGTTCACCTCTGGCGATTTTCTTTCCTTTTGCAAAAGCCACTGATTCATTGGGCGACCGAGATTCTGAATTTTAAAGTTTCAGTTAGAAAAGCCAAGAATCCTCTGAAAGTACTCTTTCAGAGGCTTTGTTGAATACTTTCAGAGGATTCTTGGAAAATTGAAACACAGACGTTCTGGTGCACTGAAATCTTCACTTTTCTCAAATACCAAGAGAGAATAGAGACTTCAGTGCACTAGAAAGGGTTTGTTTACAAAGCAAAACAGACAGTTTTATTAGATTAGAAAAATCTTTCCAAGATTGTTAGAACAATCTTATCTCACCTCTTTCATCGCATCCGAAACCACAGGAATCGGTGAATCATTTGCACTACGACTGTGTTTTCCATTGCCATTCAACACCTAAAAAGGCAAAATATAAACAAGATAATGAGTGCAAGATGGGTAAAGCCTTAGAACCAAACGTTGATTGATTTTTGAAGACTTTGATTCCAAATTTCGAAGCAAAATCAAAGAAATCAAGTCAAAAAGAAATCAAAGAAATCAAAGAAATCAAATCAAATCAAAATCAAAAAGAAATCAAAATCAAAAAGAAACCTCAAACGAAGAGGTGATTGTTGAGGCATTGAATGAGTCAAGGCGATCACGAGCGCGAGTCTGGAAATGGTCATGGTAACACAATTCTTGTTTGAGAATGATTAGAACTTTTAGTTTTGTAGTTAGATTAACAATATGATGATCTTTTAGATCTTTAGATATGACAATATAATCAAGAACGATCAAAAAGACCAAAAGATCAAAAGACAAAGCTAGTCAGTCTAGAGCAATATTTTTCAAATTGTTTGGCTTGACAATGTTGAAAGAGCTTGTTGAAAAAAGCCAAAATCAAGTCAACACTATGGGTTTTTAACATAAACCAGATCTAATTCAATTCATTTCAATTGAAAGTGACTTGAGTTTGAATTTTGAATAGGAAACAGCCTAAAAGAGATCTCGAACACACTCTACAAGTCTTATTCTTTCTTCTTATTGTAAATCATCTGATAGTGTTGAAAAGTCAATTCAACACCAAGGTTTATTAGTCTAAGCTACCGTATTTCTTCAAATAGAAGACCGGGTAAAGAGTATCATCGCGTACTCCTCCGTAGCAGCCCTTTTTAAAATTTCTTTTCTGCATAAAAGCTTTCAATGAAGTGCTATAGGGCTGGAAAATGACTCAAAAATACCACGTGAGCTAACAGATTTTTGAGTCATTTTCCAGCCCTATAGCACTTCATTGAAAGCTTTTATGCAGAAAAGAAATTTTAAAAAGGGCTGCTACGGAGGAGTACGCAATGATACTCTTTACCCGGTCTTCTATTCGAAGAAATACGGTAGATCTGAGAATCTTCGGTGTAACGGAAAAAACGGAAACGTGTCCAACGGAAAAATGCCATATCTTGACCAATTTCACTTCGATCTTTTTGATTTTCATATGAATTGACGCAGAATTTCATTTTCTATCGATTAAAATCAAAAGCAAAAGATTAGCGTTAAAATTGGTCAAGAAATTGGCCAAAAATTAACCTATAGCGTTAACGTATGGCGTTAACCTATGGCGTTAACCTATGGCGTTAACCTATGGCGTTAACCTATGGCGTTAACCTATGGCGTTAACCTATGGCGTTAACCTATGGCGTTAACCTATGGCGTTAACCTATGGCGTTAACCTATGGCGTTAACCTATGGCAGAATTTCCGTTGAACACCTATTGATGTTTACATTGAAAATTCCTAGGTCTAGTCTAAATCCTGAACCTGAACAAGGAATTAGGTTTGAAAGTGACCTTCTCAAGACACTTTAGGGTTTAGAATTTAGGATACTTGACTACATAATAGTATCGAATTTATTTCACAATTCCTATTCTTTCCTTTTCCTATTCTATTCCTATAATTCTTTTCAAGTTTTTCTATTTTCTCAACAACTTTTCCATTTCAATTTAGTTCAATCCATTTCAATCTATTTCAATCCATTTCAATCCATTTCAATCTATTTCAAATCGCTTCCCATCTTCCCATCTTCCCATTTCTCATCTTTTGTCTTTGAACTTGCTCCCCTAAACTTTATCTCGAATTTCCGCAGTCTTCAGAGGTCACCTATATGCATTTTTCCATGAAATCCCCCAAAATTTGACCAGTCTTTCACTCAAATTTTTTTCTTGATTCAAAATTGATAAGAGAGGGAATAATTTTTTTTTTCTTTTCATCACTATCAAATGATTTGGAACAGACACGGGTCTTTTGTTTATTGAATAGCGAAGAAGAAAAGGAAAAAGATTTTCAGACAAAGAAGAGATTCTCGGGAAAACAAGGGACATGATTAGGACGGGGTTTTTTGAGATCAAAAGAAATCGACTTTACTATTGTAAAATCTAATTATTGATATGCAATGAGTATTGAAATTTAATTGAAATCTAATTGAAATCTAATTGAAATCTAATTGAAATTAGCCCCACCGTCACTTCTTCATACTCTTTCATCAACGCGTCCATGTCCGTCTCAAGAACATTTTGACCGGACGGCATTTTCGCGAGCCAGTTGTGAATCTTTAAATCAAAATAGTAATATTGCTCAAAAAGCTCAAAAGCTCAAAAGCTCAAAAATGCTCAATCAACAACAGGAAATGATCAATCAAAATATCGGTTTGAGCTCAAAAATGGAAGCACATCTGGATTCTTCTTCACTGAATTCTTCACTTTTACCGAACTTGCTTCTATTCGAACCGTCGAATCATTCAGTGCATTAGAAAGAATGTGTTTACACTTTTGAGCTCACAGTACACCAGTTTGAGACAGACACTTTTAAGCTCACAGATCTTTACATAGCAACTTACCGTATGACTTGCCGGAATATTCCCCGCCTGGCTCTTCAATTGTGAGGGCACCGATTGACTCCCCGAGAGACGCATCACCGATTTGTGAACCTGGGAAATTTGTTTTTAAATTTACTCCAAAATTTGCATTTAATTATAAATCAGTTCATAAAGAAAGAAAGAAACAAAACAAACAAAACAAACCCACCATTGGCACCGCATCATCGTACTCCTCGAGCTCGTGTGGGAGTGACTCTCCAGGCTAAATCATCTTTAAATGCTTGATCTTTTCCAACAAACTCTTTCAGCTTCATTCGTTGTCACGAGTTTGCCGAATTCCGTCAGAAAGAGTCTCATTTTCATAAAATCCGCCTCAAGTGCGACGTACGAGTTCTCTCGGGGACTCAAATCGACCGTGCCGAGTCTGAAATTGGCTGGGTTTTGGACTCTGACACTTACTGAACACAATAAAATTGAATAAGCACAGAAATCTTGAGCTCTTCTAGCTTTTTACTAGGAAAATGTTTCAACTTAGCATCAAGTTAAGCTACGAGAATTCTATTTATTCTACTCAAATTCTACGCAAAATTCTGAGCAAAACCTGAGTTTTAAAATCAATCAAATTGTTCATAAAAACCCTTCATTTTCTGAAAAAAAGATTCTAATCTTGTTTGCAAAAATTTCGGGATTTTGTTTGCGAGAGGGATCCGAACCCGTGAGGATAGGTTTCGAAAGTGAGCAGACTGTCCATTAGGCCATTAGGTCATCAGGTCATCAGGTCATCAGGTCAGGAAGGCGATGAAAGGCTTATATCGAGCTCCGAAAATTTTTCACACACGCAACTACACTTGTTGTACCAAGAAAATACTGGATTTCAAGGCATACTGGATTTGGAACTGTAGCTTAAACCAGCGCGGAGAACAGGACGTTCGAAGTTAGACTACGCGATTTTACGCCTGCCATTATGGCTTTCTATCTTTCTTTCATTATGGCTTTCTATTACGGTAGCATCCTCACCTAAATTCCGAATTTTTCCCCTCATTTCCCTCATCTCCTCGTTGGCGTACTGTGTCTAAACTCAGCTGGCAAGCTCCTAAAATTATCTTTTCTCTTGAGAAGATGATCTTCAAACTGACCGATATTTTGATTGATCATTTCCTGTTGTTGATTGAGAATCGTTTCTTTCATCGATGTGATCTATAAGGTTTATAAGGTGATTCTCAAGTCCAATTTTGTTCATAAGAGAAAGGCAACAGTAATGTGGCAACAGATGTAACCAAATGAGATAAGCCATAACTGATTCAACACAGAATTTCACGCTGATTCCGAATCTGCTTTCGGTTTTTGTAAAATCGAATTCTATCAAAAGTTTTAGTTAAAGGTTTAGGATGAAAATTGCGAAAATTTGGAGGATTAGGGATGCCTTTATAACGATTTTCCCAGGGCGCTCCAACGTAGCTTAATGGTCTAGTGGGTAAAGCGCTTAGATACCAAACTAGCCCTTCGGTTTTTTTGCTCGAGTTCGATTCCTCTAGGCAAAATTCTTGTTTTGTTTGATGTTTTAAAGAATTTTATCTGGCTTTAAAAATATTTGAAATATTTATATTAGGTTGGCAACTAAATAATGGCCCTCGCCCTTTTTTGATAAAATCTTTTAATCTTTGCGTTTAATCACCCCGCTTGTTGTTAATTGAATATTACTGAATTTCTGGTGCACTTATTATACGTTCTTTACTTTCCTTGATTTGATACTTTTCAAATAATTTTGTTTAGAAATGGAAGATCTCAAATATCGAATGCGTGTCTGTCTCTGGTACGACTACAAACAAGACAAAACAGCTGCCGAATCCCACAGAGATTTATTGCGAGTTTTTGGTGATGAGGCTCTTTCCGAAACACAATGTAAGAGATGGTATCGACGGTTCAAGGAAGGGGATGAAAGTCTTGAAGATGAGCCTCGCCAAGGACGCCCGAACTTCTGCAGAACGATATTTTGGAAGCAGCCTTAAAGGAGGATCCAAGTCAAACATCACGCGAGCTGGGGATCGATTGGGCTTTCGCATCTGCAATCGAAAAGCGACTTCATGCATTGGGGAAAAGTAACCGCAGTGGAAAGTGGTTCCGCATGAATTGAGCGAAGAAAATAGGCTACTCGCGTTATCCAGCTGGAATACTCTAAACTTGCGAGGGAAGCTTCTTGATTCCATTGTCACTTCTGATGAAATGGAACTTTTATGATTCGAACGCGAAAACGACAGTGGCTTAGCACAAACGAAGACCCAAAACCAACTCCGAAGCCGGATATTCCTCAAAGAAAACTCTCCTCTGTGTGTGGTGGGTTCTCGTGGTTGGTGCATTTCGAGGTTCTCAAAGCCGGCAAACGGTTAATTCAGAACTCTATTCGTCTCAACTACATCGTGTAGATCAAGCAATTCGCTCTCAAGGACTCGAACCCTCTTCAATTCATTTTCTCCATGAATAACGCAAAACCACACACTGCAAAACTTACAATGGAGAAAATCGAGGAGTTGGGCTGGAATGTTCTTGCTCATGCGCCATACAGCCCGGATATGGGGCCTAGTGATTACCATCTTTTTCGATCGATGCAACACTTTCTAGCCGAGAAAAAGTTCAATGACCTTGACGAAGTCCGAATTTCAGTGCAGAAGTTCTTTGACGATCAACCAGAAGAATTTTTCAAGAGAGGAATCCAGTTGCTCCGTCAAAAGTGGAAAGAAGTAATAAAGAATGACGGAGAATACCTTTTGGATTGATGTTGATATTTGTTCATCTTGTTAATAAATTTTTTGTTTTTACTGAAAAGGGCCATTATTTAGTTGCCAACCTGATACTATATTATTATACTATAATATTATATTATTATACTATTCTATTACATTATTATACTATTCTTCACTCGTATCTTCTTCTTCTTCTTTAAAATCTCTTCTTTCAAAATTATTTCTAACTGATTTTCTTTACCTGATCAAGTTGTTGCAATAGCTCTTGTTCCCTTGCTCGAATCAACGCCAATTGATGGGAAACCATGATGTTTATCTCTTTTTGACCTAAATTTGGTATTGCTTTTGATCTGGTATAGTTTAAAACTAGTTTAATTATTCCATTTGTTCCATTTGTTTCCATGAATCACCTGTTCAGCATTTCCTCTCATTTGTGCTTTCACCGAGGCAATTCTCGCGGCCGCATTCTCCAACGAGTTCAATTTGTGGCGAAAACCGTTCTCCAAAGCCAAACGGCCCTCAGAACACGTTGACATTTCTCTAAAAGATAAAAAAAGATAAAAATTGAATTTAGTAAAGGAAAAGTTTTATAGAAATAGAATAAAAAGTGTAATTTGCAAGCAGTAAGCAAAAACAAGTTACACTGTCAACTCAAGTAACTCAAGTAACTCAAGTAACTCAAGTAACTCAAGTAGCTCAAGTAACTCAAGTAAACTGAAGTAACTCAAGTAACTCAAGTAACTCAAGTCAAACCAAAAATCCTGGTTGTATTCCCATCAATTGGCGTTGATTCGAGCAAGGGAACAAGAGCTATTGCAGCAACTTGATCAGGTAAAGGAAATCAGGTTGTAAAAGCAAAAACGATTTCTATGACTGATAGTTCAAAGAGATGTCTCTTATTTTTGATAACAAAATAAAGATCGTGTAAAGTTTAGCCATCTGGCATACTAAATTGGTCAAATGCTGCTTAAAACTGTAAATCTACTGCTAAAATAATCAGAAAGTCTAAAATAATCAGAAAGTCTACAGAAAAGTTAGCTCTAAATCCAATAGAATCAAAAACTGAAAAGCCAATGTTGACGAAATGAAATAAAATCAACTCAAACGGCTATCAGAATGAATTCTATAGAGAAATAAGAAGAAAGAGAGAGAGAAAAAGTACATGTGAGTACCCAAATGGACACCCCTTTCCCCCCCAAATCTATTCATAGTGGCGCTAAATAGTGGAAAAGAGAGATGTTGAGGAAAAAGAGTGGGGAAAAGAAGAGAAATCGACAATTCGACGCATAAAGATAACGAATTTCTTTTCTTTTTCTTTTCTACTTTGCTTTCAAACGATTTTTCACACATTCTTTTACACCTTCAACATCAATTTCGTCGTCGATTCTAAAGAGAATTGATGTCGATTCTTGATTGAGTCATGATTGAATTTTTGTTTTTGTAAAGTATTTGATTGTTTGAAGAGCATTTTTGAAATCAGTAACCGAGCTTTGAAGATTTTTTTTAAAACTTTTTCTATAGCTTTGAGTGTAGTTTTTGATGAGGTTTTATGTAGAATTTCGGAGGTGGGACAAATGCGACCTTTTTTTTGCGCACCTGGACATTTGCGCACCTTTTTTTGCTGGAAAAGGCCTTAGGAAAGGTCGTAGAGCTTTAAAAATGTTCCCACATAGGGGAATCATATGCATAGATTCCGAATTTCGACAAATCAGACCTCGCTGACACGTCAAATTTGGGCTAAAAGGCAAAAACTACGCAACTTAACGCTTTTCCGCAGTTTTTGCCTTTTAGCCCAAATTTGACGTGTCAGCGAGGTCTGATTTGTCGAAATTCGGAATCTACGCATACGATTCCCTTACACGGAAATATTTTCGAAGCTCTACGACCTTTCCTAAGGCCTTTTCCAGCAAAAAAAAGGTGCGCAAATGTTTAGGTGCGCAAAAAAAGGTCGCATTTGTCCCACCCCCAGAATTTCTAACAATGAATGAGTTTAACGTCATGTAGAATTTCTATCAATTCTTTAGCAAATTGATCACAAAAATTTGAGCATACAGCTCAAAATCGCTCAATGAATCGACTCATTTTTGTTTCTTTTTTTGATGAATTTGATGAATTTGCTTTAATCGATAAAATTTAGAGCTATGATCGTTTTTGAGTGAAAAAAAGGCGTCAATTGATGAAAATAGACGTCAATTTGTGAAAATCGACGCCAATTGATCAAAAAAAACCGTCAATTTGTGAAAATGAAGCCCTTGGAAGAGGGATCACTGCTCGATGATGAGGTTTGAATCTTTAGATCAAGAACCAAGATCAATTGAAAATATTGATCAAATAAAAATTGATCTAATCAACTAAAAATCTAAATTGAGAAAAGAAAATCGATTTAAATTAAAAAAAAACATAAGCTAAAGATTCAGAATCCAAGTCGATTTGAAGAGAGAAAAGAGGTCAGCAAAGGGAATCAACTTTAGCATCTTTCTCTCTCATTTAGAGACTTCCCTTTAACCTGATTTCTAGTTAAAATCTTATAAACGCTCATTTTTCATTAAACAAACCTTAATCTAGTTAAGAATTTCATTTTTCTCAATGTATAACTTGGTAATCTTTCCAAGGCAACTGTATAACTTTATAGGCAATTGTAGAGCTTTCTAGGCAATTGTAGAGCTTTCTAGGCAACTGTAGAGCTTTCTAGGCAACTGTAGAGCTTTCTAGGCAACTATAGAGCTTTCTAGGCAACTGTAGAGCTTTCTAGGCAACGGTAGAGCTTTCTAGGCAACTGTAGAGCTTTCTAGACATATAACTTTATAGGCAATCGTTTCTCGTCGTGGCTCACGCGGTGTGCCTGTTTGCGAACTCGGAAATCATCAACGAATGGCTTTCCTGCGAAAATATTTCTTCACACTATTCTTTCAGGTATTATAAGCGATCAAGAACTGAGTTCTTTAGGAAACAAATGTCGCTAACAGTTCATTTCTTTGCTTACAAGTTTTTTCCAAACAAAAGTGTTCATTTGCTCGCTACTAATAAAACTAGACAGTATAATTTGGCCACTCAGCTGAATATCTTCTAGTTTTGTAGGAAATCTCAAATGTTTAACAAAGAATTTCAAACATTTAACAAACAATTTCAAACAAAAACAAAGAATCTACACAGAAAATAGCATCGCTTCGTAGCTTTTATAGCTACGAAGCGATGCTATTTCTTTTATAGCTACGAAGCGATGCCATTTCTTTGAATTTTTTTTACAAAAAGATATCCAAATAGAGCTTCGGCTTTGAAAGTTTGAAAAACTCAATACTTTGAAAGTTTACTAGACAAGAAAAGCTAAATGAACTGTTAACAACAAAGGCAGTGACATGCACATTTAGGCAGTGACATCCATATTTAGGCAGTGACATGCACATTGGTGAGCGCTGTGCTCTTTCTCATTCCGGGAGTCAGAGGATTCGTTCAACAAACGGGATGGTGTAGATGGTTGGTTTAAGAATTAATATTTAAGAATTATATAAAGAGGTCACTATTGATCTCACTACAGTATGAAGTGGCATAGCTTGAGAACTAATAAATCTAATCTGAAAAGGATTAGGTTCATTTGTATCATTAGATTGGATTAGATTTATTAGATTTTGATTCTAGTGACACAAGAGACTAGGATTGCGGTGACTTTAGAAATCTTTACGAGGCTTTACTGTAGTATTTAAGGCTTAGGCTTAGGCTTGGACTTAGTGCGAAGGCTTAGGCTTAGGCTTAGGCTTAGGCTTAGGCTTAGGCGTAGGCTTAGTCTTAGTCTTAGTCTTAGTCTTAGGCTTAGGCTTAGGCTTTCGCTTAGGCTTAGGCTTGGGCTTAGGCTTAGGCTTAGTCTTAGGCTTAGACTTTAGACTTAGTCTTAGACTTAGTCTTAGTCTTAGTCTTAGACTTATTCTCATTTATTCAACATAAGTTAGCTAAAAGTTACAGTAATCCATTCCTTTTTAGGCTCATTTATTCAACAACGGGAGCCTCATTGGCTCTTTCAGTAATCGCCGAATCAAAATACCCGTTGAATTATTTCATTTGGATTCTTCTCACTGGCCACCTCTCATTGATAATAACTTGTGAGTTTAATAAAGATAAAATTAATAATAAAGATAAAATTGACTTGATTGACTAGATAAAATAAAGTATTAGATATTATATATTAAATAAAGATATTATTTATTAAATAAAGATATTATTTATCATTTTATTTAGTGCTCTCTACTTACAATGACACCGAAGTGCCGATCCAGATCTGCGCCCTTTTAGCCACGATTTTCCTCGCGATGATCGTCTATTGCTCACAGAATTCCCTCAAATACAATAAAGTAGGCATTGTTATGGAGTTGTTAAACTTAAATTTCAATAAAACACACCAAAATCTGTTTCAGTTCTACGCGATGATCGCCTCAGGAATGATCGCTTTCATGATGTCTGTTTTCATTCAGGTAACGCAACTTTGAACTTTGAATGCTGAACAACTTTGAATTTTACATGCTTTGCTGCTCTTTCTTTACAACATTCTTTACAACATTCTTTACAACCTTCTTTATAACCTTCTTTTACAATCTATAAAATATAAGTCTCATTGTTTAGACATAAAGTTGAAGAAAAATTTATTTATTTTCATTATTCCTCTTCATCAGCAACAAAATACAACTGCCGAATTTTTTGCAAGAGTGAAAACAACCATTTTCCAGCGATTTTCTTGCTGATGAAGACTAATAATGATAAATTTTTCTTTAACTTTATGTTTAAAAATGAGAAAAATGAGCAATCGATTCAATATGATCAAAAGTGTTGAAAGATAACGCAGAAAACAATACTACAAAGAATCGCGTCATCGTAATTTTGGGACATCCTGTAAATTCTAACTCTAAAGCTTTGTAAATCGCTTTGTTAATCCAGGCAAGACTATGCTAGAACCCAAATTCTGGTTTCTGCTGTTTGACCAACAAAAGTCTCGAGCGAGAAGTTAGAGCTCGATTTGGTTAGAGTACAATGTACAATTCCTAGACATAGGAGAGGCATGAACTCGGAGAGGCATGTTTATTTGAGGCGTCCACACACCCAACGGAAAGACCCCTTCGTGGTGTAGTGGATAAGAGGCTTGTTTCAAGGGTGGGCGGTCACCTTTTTACTCGGGTTCAATCCCTTTTGCAGCTACAAACTCTAGATAAAAGCTAAAAACTTCAAAAAAACAGATTCCCCGTGAAAAAAACAGATTCTCCGTTCTCTGGGGCTTGTTTTAAAAGGGCACGGTGAGTTCTTTCTCTATCTAGACCTGGCTAGAGTCTAGACCTGGCTAGGCGTAGATCTGGGTCCTAACCAGACTTCAGCTGGCCTGAACTGGCTTTCGTTTCTAGCTTCCGTTTCTAGAAACTGGCTGGAGCTACTCTGAAGCGCTAAGAATGCCTAAATTAAACCAGGAAAAGATGAGGAGGCCGGGGAAATTCGATAAATTTATGAACTAAAACCCTTTCCAGGTAGCGCTGGTGATCTACGATTTCTCGTACGTGACATGTGTCGGTTTGAGTTTTCTTCTCTCATCGTATATCCATCAAATGGCCGATGTTGGCATGCAAAAATTGACGACCGCCGATGCACTACGCGCGAATTTCTCTCTGTACACGAGTGGGCTCAAATGGATGATCGCGAAATTTCTGTAGGTTTTGAGGATTTGTATTTGACTTTGAAGAAAGCTTTACGAAATCTGGTGTGCACCTTTGAATGTGATTTTTGTAAAACTTTGAAAATATACATCTGGCAGATCAAACAGACCGAACTACAATAAGTTGTGTGCGCCAGAAATGGTGTGTTTGCATTTTTGTGCTCAAATTGCTTGAAGAGTTGTTGAGATTTATCGAAAAATCGATGAAATGGCTCAATTTATGAGCGCAATTTAGTCAATTTTGAATCTACGATTATTTCTAAGCAATTTCTAAGCAATCCCTCTATTTCTAAACTTCAACCATTATATGCCAAGCTAGCCAAGCTTGAAAAAAGTTCTATTTTTTACAGTCGATCTCTTCTGTAGTTTTTTTTTGTCCTTTGTTTTTGATTGTATTGGGTTTAAAACTGTGATTTTTCCGTTGAATTAAACTTTTCATTTGCAACATTTACAAGTCATCACAAAAAAATCACAAAAAATCACAAAAACTAACTCGAAAAATTTGAGTATTTAAATCGAAGCACGAAAATAGAGGTTTTCTTGGGAGTGGGACAAATGCGACCTTTTTTTTGCGCACCCGGACATTTGCGCGCCTTTTTTTCCGCACCTTGCCCATTAGCGCACCTTTTTGTCGCGTTTTAAAAAAAGCTAATATTAACCTAAAGCTCTAAAAAGCTAATATTAACCAATTTCTATTGCAAAAGTTGTTTTTCTAGGTAATTTGAGGGCGTAGAATCGAAATTTTGACATATCAGAGCTTGTGGAAACAAACGGACCGAGTTATATTGGGTTGGGGACTATGACTCGGCGCCAAACTTTAAAGGGACTTTTTGCACACATAAAGCCTTCTTTAAATATACGTTTGGTTTCATCAAAAGGATCCACTATTTCTCTACAAAATGACTTTTGAGAGATTCCACAAAGCTTTTCTTTCGTGGAGTTTATGAACTTCCAAACGCAGCTGGTTAAAATGGCAAAGAGTCCGACTCATCATTTGAACAGTTTCTTTCACATAAACCTTCTTTGGTGTTTATATAAAAAAGATAGAGCACATTCAATTACTTAAGTTGCCAAATTTGCAGGAAGATCCCACCAATGGTTTTTTCTAGATCACAGTTTGTAGTTTTTGTGAAAAAATGGCTTTTTCTTGAGCGGAGGCGCTGTTTGAATTTTCTTTTAAATGTCATTTTGTAGAGAATTCGTTAACCATTCTACTCATATCAAACGCATATTATTTGACGAAGTCGAATAGAAGTTTTAGGCATTTTTTTGATTTTCGGCGCCGAGTCATAGTCCCCAACCCAATACAAAGAGAAAAATCAACAATTTTCTGTAATTTGATCTGGCCGTTTTGTTTTGATCTAGCGTCTTTCAAATTGGTTCCACACGCTCTGATATGTCAAAATTTTGATTCTACGCCCTAAAATTACCTAGAAAAACAACTTTTGGAATAGAAATTGGTTAATATTAGCTTTTTAGAGCTTTAGGTTAATATTAGCTTTTTTAAAACGCGAAAAAAGGTGCGCTAATGGGCAAGGTGCGCAAAAAAAAGGTCGCATTTGTCCCACTCCCGGTTTTCTTTTAAAAATAGAGGTTTTTCTGAAAAAAACTAATAACAGATTCGAATTCTGCATCCTCGAAAACCCTAAATTACAAAATTTATAACCAAAGCTAGATTTTTCTTAACCTTCAAAAAGGTTTTCAAACTAACCTTCAAAAATTTCACATTTTCTTCAAAAACCGCTTTTCAGAGAAGAATTTCAGAGAATTCTTGAAAAGAAATGACCTTGTTTGGTATTGTTTACTTTATTGTTTGGCCAGGAATGGAGATGAGCTCTTACAATATTTGGTTACACGGGTTTTATGGACCAGTTTTGCCACTCAAGCATCGCTCTTTCTCCACCTTCTCCATCTTCTCCAGCTTCTCCATTTCCTTCAATTGCCACCCTTTTCCCCTAACAAAAACCACTAAAAAACGATCATCGCATTGAATAGTTTTATTGTTTGTTATTGTATAATCGTTAAATCTTACTGTATACGACTATCAATGAATCGCTGTCTGATTTTGATCGTTTTTGCCGTTTTGCCTCGAGAAATTGATGCGGTCGGTTTAAAATCCCAAAGCTAAATTTTGTTTTGTGGCTAAATTTGGAAAAGATCAAATTTCTTTCAATCTTTTCTTTCAATTACCGTATTCTCTCTAATACTAGTGCACCTTGAGCATTGCCGGAATTGCTTGTAATCTCGAGAACCACTTATCAGAACCTATTGATGTGGGGTCGGGAAATGTAGCTGACGATGAGATCTTGTGGGGGATTGAGTGAGAGGATTTGGAGGATTTGATTTATACAAGCAGTATAAATCAGGAAGCCAGTCACGATCGTTCAAGCTGAGCCTGGCCTATAGCAAGCCCTGAGTGCCCGTCAGTCAGAGCTCACTCTAGATCTGGCTAGCTGACTGTAGCCTGTCTTTCTGCCTGCTTGGAACATCACTACCGTATTCTCTCTAATACTACCTTGAGCCTTACCTTAATTCCTCGAAATCTCGAGAACTGCTTATCAGAACCTATTGATGTGGCGTCGGAAAATCTAGCTGACGATGATCTAGTGGAGGATTTGAGTGTTGAGCTTCTGGGAAAGCTTGGGAACTGTAAAATAGTCATCAACTCGGCTCGGACTGCACGACTATTAGAGAGAATATTCGAATCACTTAGTCTTGATGAAATTCAATGAAGAAATCAATGAATTTGTGATGAAAATTTGAGTGAAACGGGCAAAAACTGAAGGAAAGGTTTTTCGATAGTTGTGCATCTTTCTTCCACAAGTTTATATACAAAGTAGGCAAGAGCTTCTTGTGGATGAGCTTTTTGTGGAAGAGCTTCTTGTGGATGAGCTTGTACATGAGCTTCTTGTGCATGAGCTTCTTGTGGATGAGCTTCTTGTACATCAGCTTCTTGTACATCAGCTTCTTGTGCATGAGCTTCTTCTGCATGAGCTTATTCATCTCCAGATGCACAAATTGGCATTACCCAATCAATAGAATTTATGTATTTTGTCTTACGTGAAACTGGTACTGTGAAATCTGAAGATTTGTTTTGAAAATTTCAAAATCCAGTGAGAAAAGGTGTGGGTAGGAACAATTTGCATTTAACCTTAATCATTGAAATGGGAAAGATGCATAAGTACCGATCTTCCAAAGTATCCATCTTTTAGAAAACGCATTAATCAAGAGAAACATACACTCTGCAAATAATAAACCCCCGATTTGATCATTTCATTTAGTGTTTCTCAATGGGTGGCTGTGGCTTCTTAGGCGGATGTCTTCCAACAATATCCCTTCCATCAATCTCTTTCGGATGTGGTCGTTTCTGTCGTCGAGCTAAAGGAGCAAAAACAATCTCTGGAGAAGACATTCAACAATTACCTGGTGATGAAATACAAGAGGTTTTCAATTCTTTGCTTAAAAAAATGAAAACAAATTTAGGAACCAGATGTGATGTTCCAAAAGTGCTGTCAGGAGGCGAGAATTCCTGGGGCTTGTCTCAACAAATGCTCCTTTAGAACGTATACAAAAGAAGCGGTAAGTTAAAGAGAGCTTTTCCTTTAGTATCACATTTTCTTTAGCTAATTTCTTTAGCTAATTTCTTTAGCTAATTTCTTTAGCTGATCTCTTTAGCCAGTTAAACAGCCTATGGAACCAGTAGATACCACAAATTCACTATTATTCTACCGTAAATACTTTAATAGTACCCTACCCCCTCGCACAGTCGCGTAGTCGCAAAAGTTTTTTCGTATTTCATTTTTTGCAAAGCACCCGTACCTTCAAAAAAATGCGTCTTTGGTATCAAAAAATAGCCCTGAATTTCAGCTATTTTTTGATACCTAAACGAGCATTGTAGCATAAACCAGTGTCGAGAAAAACTCGTTCAAAGCTAGACTACACAACACTCCGCACCGTCATTATCGCGGTGGGGTACTATTACAGTATTTACGGTATGTTAAACCTGGCTTAAGCTACAGGCCATCCATGCAACTACAAGAAGCTCCTATCTACGGTACTAGTATTAGATAAGAAATCCAAAGATCTGATTATAAATTGATAAGAATTTCAGTTCATTACTATTATTCTTTACATCGTTACAACCAGAAATGTCTCTTGTAATCTACTTTTTTGTAATTTTTGTAATCACAACCCTTCTGGCACACCAATTTCTGACAATAAACATATTTCAGTTAACATCAATGTTCTTCAAGACAGACTCTTGCCCCGTTGAGGCTGCCATTGACATTCATAGGTTGGCAAAGAAATCTAGTGCTTTAGTAGCTCTAAGCCCGAATAAACTTTGGTTCTCTAGATGTGCCGCTCAATTGAACGATCATCGTGAATGTTGTTCTCTTCAAGGAATCGAGAAAACCCTTGCTGGGCCAAAGTGTCAAATCTTTTGTGATCTCGTGGGTTTATTGAAGTGTTAGCCTTTTCAAATAGTGTTAGCCAACAAACAAATTGCAGAGACCGACTCCAAATGCGACCCGTCTCGATCCATCGTATCTCCCATGTCTAGAACGTTTTGAGAATATCAAATCGTGCTTCTGGAATGACGCAAATCGGCGACATTTGGATTACATGCAAAAAGCTCATCAAGAAGGCTCGATTGATGGAGAGGGAATGGAAATTGAGGTGAGAACTTGTGGAATAAGCTTACAACTTGTTTACAACTTGCTTTACAACTTGATCAACAAGTATACTGTACAGTCTACCTATTCCCTACCTTCAGGAATTTGAAGCCGAAGCCCCACATCCATTCTATCAATCACCGGCTGAGGGTTTAGCGATCAAAAGAGTTGTTGTTACAGGAGATGATCGGGAAAAGGACTCAAGTCAGTTTTCGGGTCATGATTTAGACTAGGGATTTGAAAAGCTTTTCTTGCAAGTTTTTTAAAAAGCTAACAAGAAAAGGTCACCTGGTTGAGCCTATACCATTGCAACCTATACCATTTGACGCAGAGTTTTATGCCTTCCGAATATATTCCGTTTTTGCTAAATTACAATATGCTAAGAGTTATAAGCGTCTAAAGTTTTGTTAGGATTTTGAAAATATGGTTATTTGGGCCTTAGCGGGTTCCTTGTGAAGGCGAGTTGGACAAGTGGTATAACAGCTGTAGCTGTGGCCAAGTGGTACAGCAGCTGTAGCTGTGACCAAGTGGTACAGCAGTTGTAGCTATGGCCAAGTGATGCAGCAGCTGCAGCTGTGGCCAAGTGGTACAGCAGCTGTAGCTATGGCCAAGTGGTACAGCATCATTTCCAGAGCGAGACCTCACAAGTTCCATCCCAACTTTGGACTTTCTTTTGCTTTTTTTCAAGTAAGCGCTGACTAGTGTTCTAGTGGATTGAATTGGGTCAGCAAGGAGGCCGCTAAGACCCAAATGATCACATTTTCAGAGTCCTAACAAAACTTTACAGCAAGTCAACAAATATAGGCTAGCGACGAATAAACTACAGTGTGATAGTATACAGTATAACTACAATAATCTATTTTAAAAAGCTACAGTAACCAGTTTACATTCAATTCGCCCAATTTCGGTTTCATTTGATCAAAAGGCTCACTCAACGTGACTAAAATTGAGCTGATGAGCTGAATGAATTGAGCTGAATGAAAACTGGTTACTGTAGCTATGTAAAATAGGTTACTGTAGTTTTACTGTTTGCTAATCAATCGATTACGGTAGTCATCTAAAATAGAAAGCTTTGAAAGTTTGAATTCCATTTACTTACTTGTTTCAATTCCAGTCTTAGGTCACGAGGTGGACGAGGATGATATTGAGGTACAAATGAGACGCTTGAATCGAAATGAGAACCGCGTGAATGTGGGAGATTCACCGAAAAAGCAGCAATCAATCGATCAACACCTTCAGCCAAATAATGGGTTTTCATAAAGAAATTATCCAACGATTTACCCATTTCTAGAAATCCCTTCAATAAACCTTCACCGAGTGATCGATCCGGAAAACCCTGGTACATGTATGAAGAAAAATAGTCTTGTTTGCTCTTGCCTTGCTCTTGCTTGCTCTTGCTTCCTTTTCCTTGCTCTTGCATTGCTCTTGCATTGCTCTTGCTTGCTCTTGCTTCCTTTTCCTTGCTCTTGCATTGCTCTTGCATTGCTCTTGCCTTGCTCTTCCTTGCTCTTCCTTGCTTTTCCTTGCTCTTGCTTGCTCTTGCCTTGCTCTTCCTTGCTTTTCCTTGTTCTTCCTTGCTCTTCCTTGCTCTTGCCTTGCTCTTCCTTGCTCTTGAATAGTCTTTCAAATAGTCTTGCTAATTTGAATTTCATTTTCTTTAGTAATTTGCATTCATTTTGATCATTTTACTGTTTTCTTATTCATGAAATCTTTTAAATCAAAAGTTAAATCCTTTTCAATCCTTTTCTTTAAACAACAAATGAATTGAGCCTTTCAAATGGCCACAAAATAATACAAATCAGCCCCCGAGCGCGTGCACAAAGAAAGCAAAACTGAACAATGAAGATTGAAATAAAAAAAGCGATTAAACCTATGCAGCGATGCAGCGAAAATCATGCAATGGCTTAGGTGCGTTTTCAGGTGCGCACAAAGTACTTAGATTTGTAAAGCATAAAACTATTTAGATGTTACAATTGTCGATGAAAAACCACGGTTGTAAGCCGGACGACTAGAAGAAATAAATAGAAGAAATAGAAGAACGATATCTGCCGAATAGAAGAAGAAATAAAATACACAAAAAATGAGGAATCTTTCAGTGACGAAGTGAGAAAATTTCGTAAAAAAAAAATAAAAAAGGATGCCGGTGTGTTCCGTTCTTTGTTATTTTCCGATACTTGAACCAATCCGTAGTTTCGTTTCATGAGTTCTTGCTGCCCCTGCGGACCGAAATCCTTGGGATGAATCCAAAAATTCACAGCGGCTCCCTTCAGCACCCTTTTACAGGCACTTGGGATCCCATTTCGACCGGCGGAGAACCCACCATTGTGGCCAAAATGAGCCGGAACTGGGTTTGCCAATTCTACAGCCGAAGTTAGTTTTGGGAAGCGGTGACCACATGGGGCAGACAACGGATTGGTTACCGGATGACCCAGAATGGACGCTTCCGATTTGACGAGCGAAAAGGAGACGATATCTGCTGATGCAATATGCCAGATCGAGTGCGATTGGGCACGCGAACAGGGAACACACAGCGATCCTCTTTTTGTGTTCTGTCCATTCTGGGTCATCCGGTAACCAATCCGTTGTCTGCCCCATGTGGTCACCGCTTCCCAAAACTAACTTCGGCTGTAGAATTGGCAAACCCAGTTCCGGCTCATTTTGGCCACAATGGTGGGTTCTCCACCGTTCTCGAAATGGGATCCCAAGTGCCTGTAAAAGGGTGCTGAAGGGAGCCGCTGTGAATTTTTGGATTCATCCCAAGGATTTCGGTCCGCAGGGGCAGCAAAAACATGAAATTCAAAGAACTTGAACTCTTTGAAGAATCCGACGTTTTCATAGGCGCCAACCCAATATAAAAAGATCGAGAGAAAGTTGATTTAAATAAGCGATAGTTAGGTAGACAAATATCTGGTTTATACCGCGGATGTAAAAGGGTTTTGTAAAAACCTGTAAAAGCTGTAAAAGCCTCCCTACGTTCTCCCCAAGCTTTTCTCTCTACAATGCTAGGACGAAGATCCCATTGTAAGTAATTGAGTGTAGGTCGTTTTACTCATTCATTTGGAAAGATGCGATCTACTTGTCTAGGGTACTATTACAGTTGAGATCTACTTCTTCCAGGTATTAAAAGTAGAGATTCGCATCATCAATTTTCCCTTAGAATCGGAAACTCAATATCTTGCGATGCCTTGGGATACATTGATTAGCTTGATCAGAATTTGATCAGATACATTGATTAGCTTTGTTTCTGTGTTTGTTCCGCTTTAGGGCTGTATTAGTGAGCGCTCAGGGTCTAAACTAGTAACACTTTTTGCATACACTATCGAAGTGGGCTTACTTCTCCACATTTATCAATGAAACGTTACAAAATTCGCTTTGCTTTGCTTCCTGGGTGAAGATGATGGTGAAGGTGACCTTTGAAGATGAAGGTGACCTTTGAAGATGAAGGTGACCTTTGAAGATGATGGTGAAGGTGAAGATGATGGTGAAGGTGAAGATGATGGTGAAGGTGACCTTTGAAGATGATGGTGAAGGTGAAGATGATGGTGAAGGTGAAGATGATGGTGAAGATGATGGTGAAGATGATGATGATGGTGAAGGTGAAGATGATGGTGAAAGTGACCTTTGGACGTCATCACCCAAAAGTCTTATTGTTCTTTGGAAGAAAAAGTAATGGATTCGTTTGCCGACTCCGTTTGCCTTGCTACTTCTTTCAGGTATTAAAAGTAGAGATTCCCATCATACGTTATTTGACTTTTTCTTTCGTAAAGCGATTTGTAACGATTTTAACGATTCATTGGCACATTTAAACGAAAAGAAACGAAAGAAAAGAAAAGAATACTTAGAAAAGGTAGAAATTGGAAATAATATATAATATATAATATATTTCAGTAATAACAAAAAGATCTACAAGCCACATAAATTTCAATGGCACAGTTTGCAATTAATTGAAAGAAAAAACACAAAATCATTTACAAATCTGAAATTGAAATCAAGAAATTGGATAGTTTGTGGAAATGAAAGAAAAGCTATGATATTTATCTATGATATTTATCTATGATAATTGTCAATTCATATTTATGATGATCACATTTGTGCAACTGCGCGAACGCTGATTCGGCGAAACGAGCTGATTTTCTGGTATAGAAAGAACCCGATTGGGGAGATCATTGGATAAACTTCGAGAGATAAAAGAATTATTATTGAGTAGAGTGTTAGTGGGTTTAGAAATAGAAACAGTTAGTTGTTTAGGGTTATTTGATGGGGGTTCATCGGATTGTTGAAGGGATTGTTGAAGGGATTGTTGATGGGATTGTTGAAGGGATTGTTGATGGGATTGTTGAAGGGATTGTTGATGGGATTGTTGATGGGATTGTTGATGGGATTGTTGATGGACTTCACTCCGGAAACTCGTTGTTGTGGGACCGGAGTTGGTGGAGGCGAGAGAACTCTGAAAACATTATGATAGAATTTCATGAATATTCTTGGAAATTGTAGAGTATTACTGTAGTGCTATGATTAAGATATTGCTTATTGTAAAGCTAATTTCTCTAAACCAGGCTTAGCTCAGATTCAAGCAGATCAATCTGGACTGGTGCAGAACAATCTGGACTGGTTCAGATCAACCTGGACTGGTGCAGAACAATCTGGACTGGTTCAGATCAACCTGAACTGGTGCAGAACAATCTGGACTGGTTCAGATCAACCTGGACTGGTGCAGAACAATCTGGACTGGCTCAGATCAATCTGGACTGGCTCAGAACAATCTGGACTGGTTCAAATCAATCTGGTCTGGTTCAAATCAATCTGGACTAAAAACCAGCCTAACCTAACTCTCTGAAACATTTATAGAAAAGAAATCTGACTACAAAATAGTGTAAAGAACAAAATTATGGAACGAACTTTGCAATTATCTATTTTCCATTGCTGGCTTTAGATACAATGCTTTTATCCATTAGACCATCACTTTCAAGGGAAGTGTGTGCGCGCCTTAAATCGATTTACCAAAAATTTGTATGCCATCGAGCTCCGCTGCATCGAGCTCCGCTGCCATCGAGCTCCGCTGCAAAAACGGGATTGGATTCCCCGGTGAAATTCTCTACAAGATGGTCTAGGTTTCATTTGGAAACACCATCTTGACCCCACAAGATTCCCTAGTATCATGCTATCATGCTCCAACGATGCAAATAAGTCAACGTCTTAAACGTAACAGTAGAGACCTTCAGAGAGAGAAAAAAGGTGTTTGAGTGTTACTGTAAATGAAGATTTTTGATATCTAGATTTTAATATCTAGATCAAATTACCCTTGAGTTCCTTAAAGAGATGCTTGCCGAAGAGAGGGGACTCGGCTCGAGTTCGGCTTCCCATCGGCTACTCGCTGGAAATGAAAAGATATTTGTTTGGCTAGCATTCGCTATAATCATTTCTCCCACCTTGTTGTCTCCTCACATCACTCATTTCCCCTCTTTCACCCAAATATTCAGGTGGCGCTCCTCTACTCGTTTCTTTCATTGCATCCTCGTATTTTGGCGGACATCCCAATAAACGACGTGCATCCAATTCCCAGAAATCTGAAAGTTTTTGAGATGAATGCTGAAATGGTTTTTTTGATTTGAGAATAGTTATTTCTGGTTTAGGGATATGAAATCGGGTAATAGACAAGGCTGAATTGGATTAAATTGAATCAAATTGAATCAAATTGAATCAAATTGAATCAAATTGAATCAAATTGGATAAAATTGGATAAAATTTGATCAAATTCGAACCAGATTGTGTTCAAAACTTGCTTTTAAGCCTATAAAAGCCTTTAAAATTAGCAAATGATCTCAGGAATTGTAATAGCTAGCTTCCTGGAATCATAAACCGCTTAAAAATGAGCTTCATTACATTCTACGTTTATTAGAACTATTAGGCTTTTCCAGAAAGTCTTTTCGTTCCTTTTCTTTTCTTTTTTTTTTCCTTTTTTTTTTCCTTTTCTTCCCTTTTCGTACTTCCATTTAAAATCAACAAATGCACAAATTTTTTTTTGTTTGTTCCAAATTCCAAGTTCCGGTTCATTTCATTAGAAAAGTCAATTAGTTTTCTGCAAAATAACATTAAGCAAGTTTAGTTTGATGTGGTTTCGATAGCTCGTTTACAGACAATTTAATTAGAGATGATCAATAAACCAAAAAAAATCCGGATCCTCACCTTTGTTTAGGCTTAGTTACTCGTTTACAGACAATTTAATTAGAGATCATCAATAAACCAAACCAAATCTGCATTTTTCTAAATCTAAACTAGCCCAATATCCTTACAATTTCTCATCAAACATTTCTAATCTTTGCATTTTTGGGTTTCCTACTCACAAAACCATAACCCC